AAAAAAAAAAAAAAAGGGGGGGGGGGGGGGGGTGGGAGGGTCAGATTACCCTTAAATTACGAAACAGTCATCTAATAAAATAGTATTTGCTAATTTATTTTCCTTATCACAACTTTGAGCGCCTTTAATATTCGAAGGCTCCTATTTTAGTGAGATCTCTATAAGATTTTATACTACTATTATGATGAAACGTCTCTAAGATTTAAGGCTACTATTTTGGTGCAATCTCTCTAAGATCTCATGCTATTATTTTGGGGAGACGTCTCTAAGATTTTAAACTACTATTTTGTTGAGATTTCTCAAATATTTTATGCTGCTATTTTAGTTAGATCCCTCTAAAATTTTAGGCTATTACTGTTTTTGTGAGATTGAAGTGCATTTGTTAATCATACTCATACGTTGTAATTTTTTTGTCTTTATATATTTATGGTTTGTTACTTGTTGCAATATTTGTCTACACACAGTTTAAATACTCAGGAAACAATAGGATTGTTACATAGTATGGATTTGGTTCAGTCGAGTAGACGTAGTGTTTGTTCTAGGAACGATCTTTCAACGCTCGTGCAATAGATTTTATTTTTAAATTTTATTATTATTTTTTTAAATCTCAAGAGTAGGAGTAGGAGATAGGTAAACGGATATTCATTTAATTTTTTATTTATTTTATATTTTTTTAAGGGATGTCGCGAGTCAGAAATTAGTAATAGATGTACATTGTAAGTTATTCTTGTTAATTTTTTTCCACATTTTTTTCCCTTTCCAACAAACTCCTTTTCCAAACAAATTTACATTTAAGGTTATAGTCGGACTTCATCGCACTTTAGTGTTTCTCGTCGGAACTGCGGTTAATTTCGGATATAAATTTCATCAACATCTTCCTTTTCCGGTTTGACTTCAATATGGTGGGTAGATGTAGTTAAAGTTAGCGACAATAATCTATTAAATCCAAATGATCCTTAGATGCAGCAATACGAAATAACTCAACGTTGTATGTTCAACTAAAATAAATTTCATTACAATCACTGTCTACAATATTTAAGTAGTGAGACTGTCAAATTTAGTATGGTATGATCCATTTGTTTTTGTAACAGTCCTCTGGTTATTTCCACGACCGGCTCGGTTTTATTCCACATTAGTTTTGTTTTGTTTTGTTTAGCCTAATGGATGTTTGTTAGCGTGTCTTCTGATTAACCATACAATTAAGAAAGGTAAGGTACTAAGAATTAAATTTCTAAAATCTGTTTCATTTTAACCTGAATACTTTGAACTTTGATAAGCCTAAGTCCAATCTTGTAAATAATTTTGACAGGGCTACCGAGGACGCAGAAAGTCGCTCAAGCGATTGGCAGCTCCTAAATCATGGATGCTGGACAAAGCTGGTGGAGTCTTTGTAAGTTATAATATATTAATTAGTTCTTAAGTCGTAAGCTAGTTATTCCTTATTTAGCTGTGTAAGTACATTTATTCAAGCTCTATTTAAAGGTGTCATAACATATTACTTATTACAATTGAATTTGAAAAGTATGTTAGACCCTTAGGTCAATTAACTAACCTTAAGTTGCGCAAGTGTTGGATTTTTAAAATATCTGTTTTTCATATTAATGTACTTAGGCACCAAAGTGCAGTGCTGGACCCCACAAGTCTCGTGAAAGCTTTCCATTGACCCTTTTTTTGCGCAATCGTCTCAAGTATGCTCTCTCCTACCAAGAGGTTAAGAAGATAGTGAAGCAAAGACTTATTAAAGTAGATGGCAAAATCCGCACTGACAATTGCTATCCCACTGGATTTATGGGTATGTTAAGTAATTAGCTGTAGTGTTGACAGTATTGTCTTTTCATTAGCTTGATTTATGACTTATTTTAAAATAAAACATAAAATTTTGGAGGGTTAAATTTGAAAAAAAAATAATTATACCTTAACTCGTTCCGGACAGTTGCGACTAAATGCATCCTTTGTGGGTTTCTCCTGATGCATCCCGGCTCATAGCGACACACCTCTAAATTTTTAGTTAAAAATAGCAATTAAATGGAGACTTCCGTCTATGGCGCGATTTCTGGGTGATTTTAATTTGAAAACCAGAAGTTTTTATCTTGTTTAACTTCAAAACTACGTGTGCTTTAGAACAGCACGTCTATGTAGCATGTGTTCGTCCGAGTTGCCAAAAATCAATTTTTTGGCCATCGTTCATTATTTTTTCGCCGCTAATGTTATATTTTTTTTTATTAAACCTTATTCATTTTTTGATGCATTTGTCCTTATTTCATTAACATTTATTATTTAGCAGCCTAATAAATGTTTTAAAAATGTAAATCAATTTCAAAACTGATTTGCTTCCCCTTTCTCAGGAAAATAAATTAAGTACGGAAGTAGTACTGCTGGAGGGAATGAGTTAACTAGCATCAGCAGATTTTTGGGTTATCAGTAAGGTTTTGCAATGTGTTCTACATTATATACATCATGGAGGTCCCCCCATGTCATCTTCAATCTAAACTATAGACTTGAGCTTCTTCTGTATTTAAATTTTTTTGTATTATCTTTTAGTTTACTTCTAAAATATAGTAAACTGTCCTGTAAACTATCAACTTGATATGGCATAAGGGCACTTTCGACCCTTGTTAGCTGAATTAATAAAATTGTTTAGAAAATTTTAACCACATCGATTGTCAGATTTAGTTTGACGTGAGTAATGCTTTGTGAAGAATTTGAACGTTCAAGTCCAGTGTTGGGATTCCTCAAAGTAACATCACTGTGCTTAGGGTGAGACGATTCTTGTTAAAACCCAATACTGCTAACCCAAAATTTAGCAGGCCATGTCCATATGCATAATATTATTAGACTAAAAAATATCTACCTTTCAGATGTGGTGACCATTGATCGCACTAATGAGAACTTCCGTATCCTTTATGACGTCAAGGGTAGATTTGTTGTTCACAGGATTAAAGCAGAGGAGGCTAAGGTAAGGTACTTCTGTAAAATTTCTAATTTCTAGACTGACAAAGACCAATAGCATTCCATTGATGATAGTAAAAAGTTAATCTTCAAAATTTCACCCAGTATAGGTCTAAAGTAACGCTTAGGAAACTACTGTAGCTCACAAATTGATTTTTACACATTTGGCCCCTATCGAAGCCATGCTGCTTTTTTTAGAGCTGTGTGGTCATATGAGGGCAAATATTATTTCCTCCAGACGGTCGCAGATTGTGCCCCGTTGCCTCTCAGCATACAAAATGGTGGGACAGTTTTGAATTCATGATGTCCAGTTAAATTAAAATGGTGCTAACTATTATGGCCACTTTCTTATGTTTAAATTTTGTTAAACACTTCAAGTGAGTATCATGTTTTAATAAGATGAAGTATTGTTTTTTCCTCTAGTATAAACTTTGCCGTGTTCGCAAAGCTGCCACAGGTCCCAAGAATGTGCCATACATTACAACAAATGATGGCAGGACAATTCGTTACCCAGACCCATTGGTGAAGGTAAATGATACCATCATGGTTGACATTGCTTCTGGCAAGATGAAAGAGTTCATCAAGTTTGATACAGGTAATATTGCTGCAGTACAGAATCACTATTCTTTCAGACCTCAATCGAAGCCATGTTGTTCCAAATTTTGGACTGTGTGGTCAAACTGTGGGTCGATAGTGAAACCCCCAGACGGTCGCTGGCCATTTCTATCATTGGCTAGCATACAAAATGGCGGGACAAATTATAAGCTTAATTTTTTTTCCAACATATGCCCATTGATGTGCTTCCAGAACTTTAGTGAATTTAAGTAGTTAAAATTTTTTATCAAAATCTAGGTTAAGTAAATTCTTACCTGTGTTAAAATCTTCACATCCCTGAGGGATTATATTCCCTATCATTCTTTAAGATGTTAGCCAACCTCTTAGTTTGGTAATAGCCAAGCTGGCATATTAAAGTTAATTTAGAATTGAAAATGACTACTGCAGAGTTTTTGCAGCTAAATGAGCTTATAGAAATACAAATCTGGGTGATCTATCAAATTGAAATGTATCTTCCTAAATGTTTTATTTGCAGTACGGAATTATTTTTTAAAAATTGTAAGCCAGTCTTTCTTTTATGAGAAACAAGCCTTTTATTCTGGGTCAGTGGGCTAGGTGATTTGTATATATTCAAGAAAATTAAACTTCAGCATGCACTTATTTTATATATATATACAGTTCTACACTGGTGGTATACTTGCAAAACTTCTGGCAGTCTTGGTGTGTCCTGTGTTGCCAGTTATTTCATCAATTTTAAGTTATAAATTGAATAATTTTTTACAGCAATATTAGCATATTTGTTCTGCCAATTCCAATTAAATTTTTAATATGGGGGATCAAATTAAATGCTTTGCTTATTGACAAATTGCTTTAGCTGTAAAACAATGAAACTCAGTTGTTTGCAGTTTTTTTTTAAAGGCCTTTATCGAAGCTTTGTTGATTTGTATTTGAACAACAAGGTCAAAATAAGGCCTAAAGGATAACCTCCAGACGGTCGCTAACCAATTCATATTTCTGGTGGGCATACAAAATGGTGGGATATTTTCTTTTTGATTGACATGAAAATTTACAATTATAAATATATAAAAAATGCGAAACGTTAAAAATCCTTGGTATTTGATAGGAAATCTTGTGATGATTACTGGTGGGCACAATTTGGGTCGTGTTGGAACCATCACTCATAGAGAGAGACATCCAGGTTCCTTTGACATTGTTCACATCAAGGATGCTCTTGGACATACCTTTGCCACCAGGTTTGTATTTATCTTTATATAGCTTTCTAAAATGAATGCACAACAAATGTTCTTTTTTCTAAAATTAAGTCATGAGGGTTTAAACAGTTCAAGGGAAAGCTGTCCCTCAGTAAGGCATTACAGCCATGAAAATTGCATAATTATAGCTAGGCGATCAAAAAAGCTTTGTGAGTTATTTTTTTTTATCTGAAAAAAAATTGATTGCACTGTGTGGACAGTTGTGATAGAAAATATTGTTGAAAGCTAAATTTTGAAAACTTTATCATGTCTGAAATCTATCATACCATTAATTCATTCAAAGATTTAATTGTGTGTGGAGTTTTTCTGGTATCTAAAGACAATTATATGTAAATCATCCAATAGATTTCTTTGCTTGTGTTATTTTGATTTCACAGTATACTGTAATTGTTATCCTCAGATTGTCCTATGTCTTTATCATTGGTAAGGGCAACAAACCCTGGATATCTCTGCCAAGAGGAAAGGGTGTAAAACTTACCATTGCTGAGGAGAGAGACAGAAGAATAGCTGCCAAGACACAATAAACATTAGCGTCCAATGTTAATGTACACCTGTACCAGCAGAGTTGTTTGAATGATTAATAAATTACTGTACACTGAACTTGCACTTTTGTTTTTATCTTGGATGTTATGTTTTCAATGTTTTTATTTCAAACAAGTAACAAACATACCGTATATAAACATAAATACAAGTTCTCAATCAGGTGTTGACTCTCTGCTTGCGTCCGGAACACGGTTCATAAACACTCACTCCAGTCTCTGCGCATGCGCAGTTTCCTTGGCTGGCTATCGGCCCGCCCCTAGTCCACCCTAACAGATGTGATATAGCCAACTGATGGTTAAGTCAAAGAGTATCAATATATAACAAAGGGTTTAAATTTTATCCAATTTTTTTAATGCAAGGATATTATTTTCAAGCTGTTCATTGTTTGTCACTAACCCTTTTTGTGCATGTGTCAAAGTCATTATCATTAATGGAAGGCATATTTCATCAAGAAAAAAGTAAGACATACTTCTGGTTATTTATTTATTATTATAAGTTTTAATTTTAATGCAAGAATAAAAATGACACAATTATTAGGATTTATGCATGCTGTACCTGAGGTGGGCAACCTTTTAGAACAGAAGGTTGCATGGAATAATAGTTGAAAGTGGGTCATCACGTTTTTATATTATTCATTTAAGTCTAAGATTCTTTTAAAAAAAATTAATTCCTAGTTCGCAAATAATAAATAAGCAGTTGATTAGTTAAAAAATTTAACACTCATTTACTAATAAATGGCCTTGTAACTTGTACATTTTACGAAAACATTAAATGGTTTTCGGAAGGCCTTCCTTCCAGGCAGCAGTATAGGTTACGCAATTATATTAGTACCAGAATATGTTTAGTAGTATAGTAGACTTTGGTAGTTACCAAATTTCACAAGTATTAGTATTATCCAAATAAAATTGATGTTTTTTTATTACACTGTAATTGTACATCTTTGTTTTGAGCATATAATAAATAAATACATATTACCCAAGTCAACATATTAAATTACACCACAGGCATCTGAAATATTACTATAACTATAAGTACTGGTATAGTACAATGGAGATTACCCAATTAATGCAAGCATTGAGATGTAGCTTAAAACTAAAATATATCATGTACTAGTGTGGTATTAATAGTAGTAAGTAGTTGGCATACAATGGCTGGAAGTACCACTACCACAAGGGTTTAGAAATTTAAAGTTTGTGTGTTTATAGAGTAAAGAGGGTTAGAAAATGATATAACTACCCGTACTTCAACTAACTTATTTGCTTGTGATACAATTTACAATTCTGCATACTGGTGGTACCAGTACAAATAACATACAAATGTTAGGAGTGTCTCTTTAACTTTAATTGGTGCGACTGCATTAACTCTGTTCTCACTCTGCAACTCCATTACTTCCACTCAATTACTACTAATTAATTAAAACATTTCCCAAATATGTCACAAAATACAAAGCGCATAGCAACAGTTACACAAATACTCAGTCTCAGCACCAAACACTGAAACACGCACCTACAAAAACAAAACTAGAACAAATCATTATTAACAGGCAAATGAATCGGTTGACATTTTTTTAAATGTATGCTTTATGGAATATTATTATTATTAGTACCTGTATCATAGGAAGTACTGTTCTGGTATCGAATGTATTGAACATATATAAATTTGTAAGATCTTTTGAAACTGTTCAATTTACACTTACACTTAACACTTATTTATTATACTTTATAATAATAGTATAGCAAATAATAAAGTACGGTATAGTGAATAGAGTTATCATATAGTATTTTTAATACCGTACCGGTACCTTAAAAATTAAAGGAAGAATACACAATAATTCAGTTACCATATTTAAATATAATAGAGTACGGGTGGATCAGTTATCAAAATATTCACCATACAGAATTATTTTTTAGAATTTGACAGCTTGTTGAAAGTGAATTTAGCTGTGGCATAGAGAAACAAAACAGTTTCCCTGATGATCGCTGTTTTTGCCCCATAATAAAGTGACTGTTGGTGAGAAGAGAGGGGCACACTGCTAAAAGCTGCAATTATATGCCATGGTTGTACAACTACTCTACAACTACTAGTACCAGTATTGGTACCGTATTAAAAGTTTGTGCTGTCTTGATATAATAATAATAATGATGTCAATCCAACTGTGGCTTTTAAATTTTAAGACTGTGCTGTACAATTGTCCTTGTTTCAATTTTAACCCTTAAAATTATGAAACCGGTAATTCTTAAAGCAAGTGACAGATTTTACAGTGTATATTACTATTACTAATATTGTAATTGAACATTAAATTTAAGTCAAATGACAATGAATAAATGAAAATGCAATGCAGCTGAAATTAAACTGTAATTTACAATTCACTCTGCTTAGCTAATTAATATACTAGTAATAGAGTGATTAATACAGGTAATTACCAGTAGCTCTTAATTGAAAAAGGGGCTGGAACTGGAATTGTTTTGGAATATTAGCACTATATTAGTAGTGGTATGTAGTAAGTAATGGTATTCATTACAGTATTGTAGAATAAAATTAATTGAGACATTGTTTACACATTCATAAATAGTTCTGGGAAAGATATACTGGTACGGTAGACAATATCATACAAATTATACTTTAAACTTCACTTAATAAATGATCTTTTAGAAAGTCATTATAGTTAAGCCAATTTGTTAAGTTCTTGTCATATTTTCCCTGCATTTCTTGGAATTCGTTCTCTGTTAAATTTATATTAAACTGTCGTAAAACTTTGCGAAAATCATCTGTAGGAATCACACCTTGAGACTTGCTGTCAATATTTCTGAATGCTCGTCTCATCTCCTTCCACTTTTGGCGGATGCATTCTTGGGTTCTCCTTAATGCATCATCTTTTTCATCCTCCTCTTGTATAGAAGAATTATGTAGCTGCTGTAAGTATAAGAATGAAAAAACCCATTTAAATACAGGTAGTAAAAAAATCAATAGTCCTTATGTCAATGATTATTTATTTAAAATCACACTGGATATATTTGCATACCAATATCTGTCGCATCAGTTCACAGGTTGCACCCACTCTTAGTTTGGGGTTGTTAAAGTGGTTATTTGCTGTTCACTCACAGTTAGGTCACAACCTTACTTTGTGGAGTTACAAGTTACATGGCTCTTTTTTAACATAATACTAATATAAAAAATATTTTTTTAACAGACATCACAAAAATTTTCCATTACAACTTTAATTGATCTTTTATTAACATCAAAAACTGATTTTCCTTGAGATTAAAGGGAGAAAGCAATTTTGCCACTTTTCCTAAAAATGACTACCAGTGAGTACCTCACAGTGAATAACAATTAAGTCCAATAGTTATTGGTTGCAATAGCATGGTAATTCCTTATCAAGGGTGGAGCTGTTCTGTTTAAAAAAAATTTGAATAATTGCTTCAGTTCTAAAATTACTTGAAAATAAATGGTAAACAAGTTCAGTGCAGGTCAAGCGTTTTAATTCGATGTGTTGTGCGGTACTGTTGGAAGAAGCGATTGGGTAAAATCAATATGTCTGGGAAAATTATTATTTTTCCCCTGCTGTCGATTATGCTGGAACCCAGAGTACACATCTTGTCTACAGATATGCAGTCTACTACAGATCATTACGATGTCAAGTGAATAGGTCACTCCCTGATTTTTATAAAAAATTTTCTTTAAAAACTGTGACCTATTCATAATTATAAATGCTAAGTTTCACATCAGAATATCCACTTCAACTTTAAAATCCAAAGTGATGCAAAGATTTTCACATCATAATAAATGCCTCTACAGCTCATGTAGGCCTCTGGATGCTCCACAACATCCTCTTATTCAAACTGAACAATAGCTTTTTGTCTCAATATGTGGACCACATCTTTTGTCTGAATTTGTGAACCACATCTTTTCTTTCAGACTGAACAATGGCTTTTTATCCCATATGCGGACCCCAATCTGATGTAAATTTACATAATCCAAATCAAACATCTGAGTCTTGGTCTACCTATGATCCATATGCCCCTAGGTTACTGTCTGTAAACCACTTTTGCCCCTCTGTGATCTGGGATCCTCTTGGGGTGTCCTGCCTTGTTTCATTGTTTACTTTGCATACATCACTACCGGGTACTAGTCTTATAATATTGAGGTGCATGATTTTCTTTTTTTTCCTAGTACTACCACTAGTACTATGTATTTTTTTTAGACTGAAATATGAACGGTTGCTTGCTGTTATCCTTTCCTTTACACAGGTCTTTATGGTATTTATGGTAGTTCCTAGGTAATTAGATGTAACCACTTTCTCAAAGGTTTCTTTTTTTTTTATTGTGATGTGTGTTAAGTGACATCACCAAATACTTGGTTCTATGCTACATTCACCTCTAACCCAGCCTTGACGCCAGGTATCTTAAAGTTCATTGAATGCTTTTATTATTTAACCGTATGTAGCTGGTATCATTGGTAGCATGCCGCCAGTACACACCTGAAATCCACATGTGGTTAGCTGTAATCATAGTGGCCCCCACCTTTAGGAAAATAGCATCCTAAGCCTAAGCTTTTATGGCCCATCTTTCATACTGCCATGGTTCTCACCATTTATGCCACTATGCTTCAGTGGAAGGTGGGGTGCATAAAAGCAGGAAGGTGAGCCACAGTCCAGCACGAAGGTGGGCCTCAGAGTAGCAGGCCTAGTAACTCAGCTAAACCAATACATATTTGGGTAGATGAAACATCCTGAATAAGATTTCCAAAGATTTTGGGTGGATTTTTAGCAACAAGTAAAGAGGAAGGCTCATTGCTGAAAAGTTTTGTCCTGTATTTCACTTCAAGCCTCCACATATGTTGTTCTACTATTTCCTTTTAGTAGCAACATTACTGGTAATTCATCCTCCACAAACCTTTTTTCCCACCTTACCCCAGATGACAAACAGTTGTGTTATTATAAGAAAGACTGTCAAAATCTGCTTGAATTTCCAAAGAAAATCTGTACCTACATAAAGGTGTTTACTTGGTGCCCTTTCTCTAGTAGTCAGTGCTCTGCCTTTAGAAGACTTAACAGTCAAGACAAAATGGCGCATAAAATTGCTATAGCAAAATGTTCCGTTCTCATGGATATCATATTTTGTTACTAGGTCTTGAAATTCTGCAGGAGACAAGACAAGCCCATACTGGCTTAGCAAATCTGAAAAAAAAAGAGAGATTGGACATTAGCTGTAACAATGTGAAACCATTGTGGAATATTCTTGACCCATTAATATCCAACTATAGGTCCCCATTACAAACTTTAAAAAAAAAATGATAACTCAAATCTTGCCCAAATTGTTACCAGGTAGAAATAATGAATAATTATTTTTGTACTCAAAATCATTATCCCTTGCAGTGGTAAACCTTAACTAAAGCCCCCAGCACCAAGCACCCCCCCCCCCCCCCCCCCCCCCCCCCAATCAATTTTTATCAATTTTTAATCTATAATAATAACAATCAACATCTATGACTAGAGTCAATTTTGTATTGCAGAATTTATTAAAGAATTGATAAGGTCTAAATATTATAGTTAGTAAATATATTGCTCGTTTTTTCATCTTTACGTTGAGCCAAATGCTCCTCTTTGGCAATATCGTATAGAAGTAACTGATTAATTTATAATTGCCATATTAATATTTTAGGTAACTGGCTGACATCCTTGTCTTTTCCAACCATTCAGAACTTAAAATATCAGCATTTTCTACTTGTGCAATAATTGGCAATCTGTCTCAGTCTATTCCATTAGCAGCCAATCAAATCAACCACATTTTTTTGTGTTCAGGAGCTGGTGGTAATTTCTTAGGCCCATCACCAGTGCTGTTCTGACTATTTGAATTATAAGAATTTTATAGCCATTGATATTAAGAAACAGTTGGCAGCAAATTATTAAGTCCTACTTATGATTTTAATATTTTTTATATATCAGTTAAAGTAGACTTCCCCTTGTTCACAATAGTCAAACTATTATGAAAATATACTTTCCCTTGTCAACAATGGTCAAACTATTTTCCACGTAAGTGGTAGGAAACCTGAGATATATGATGTAAGTCATTGATATTGAAACAAATAAGAGGAAATCAACAACAAGTTATTGATATTGAAACACATAAAGGGAAATCATCAACAACTTATTGATATTGAAACACATAATCATAAAGGGAAATCAACAACAAGTTATTGATACTGAAACAAATAAGGTGAAATCAGATTATTGTTTATAATCCTTAAGTCAGTGGTTCTTTCCCTGGGTTCAGTGTCAGGGGTTCGGCGGAGGTCCCAAAAAAAAAATCAGAAAAAAATCATATTTTATTTTTCCTATTAACAAGGCTTCGGAGAATGCGCATATAAAACTGGTGGAGTTCAGTACCTCCAACAAGGTTAAGAACCACTGCCTTAAGTGAAACTGGGACAAATTTATTGCAAAATAGTTATCCATATCTTACGTTTAAACTGAGCCACACTTATTGCCCCAGAGTTATCAACATCCATTTCTCTAAACCGCTTCTGCATACTCTGCCAGTGTTGTAATACTATGTCTTTGATCATCATTTCTGCATTTTCTGCATTAACCATTGGAGTTGAGGTTCGTGATGCTGATCGTGAACTTACATGGGTTAATCGTGAAAATGGTCGACTACTTACCTGGAAAAAAGGACAATACCGGTACTGTAGTGAATGTATACGATAAAAAACATAAGCTTAAAATATTGCTGAAAACTTCAAATCTATTGATTTTATGTGTGCAACTAACCTTTTTCCTTTTAAAAAAGGATTTTAAGGGCCCAGTACAACCAGCATTTTAAGGCTCAGTAAAACTAGCATTTTAAGAGCCCAGTACAACCAGAATAAATTAGGACATAGTGCATCAAGCATAAGTTATGGCATATTGCATCCAGCATAAATTGGGGCACAGTGCATCCAGCATAAATTAGAGCATAGTGCATCTAGCATAAATTATGACAAAGTGCATCCAGCATAATTTAGGGCATAGTGCATCCAGAATATATTAGGGCATAGTGCATCCAGCATATATTAGGGCATAGTGCACCCAGCATATATTAGGACATAGTGCATCCAGCATAAATTAGGACATAGTGCATCCAGAATATATTAGGGCATAGTGCATCTAGCATATATTAGGACATAGTGCATCTAGCATATATTAGGACATAGTACATCCAGCATAATTTAGGTCACAAAGCATCCAGCAAGTTTAAGGGCACAAGTCATCCTGTATGATCTAGAGCAGCGTTTCCCAAATGTTTAATTTTGGTGGACAAGTTTCCTATTGCACATGGAAACAAGATTTCTGTTGCACCAGGGACTGGTGGACACATTTCCTATTGTACCAGGGGCTGGTGGACACATTTCCTATTGTACCAGGGACTGGTGGACAAGTTTCCTATTGCACCAATGGAAAAGTTTTCTGTTCCACCAGTGGACAAGTTAGCCTGAACAAATATTTTTTTAATTTTGTTTTTTTGTAATGGCTGTTATAAAATAAAAATATTCAATAGCAGTTTTTGACATATTTCTAACTTAAGCTCTTGACTACTTTTGTGCAGTTAGCTAATGTAAGATTCACGGAGTGCCGCTGGTCTGCAGACCACCATTTAAGGGCATGCTGATCTAGAGCAGCATTCTCCAAATGGTGATCCATGGACTGGAATCGGTCAGCACAACATGAATATTTTTGGTCAAATAAAAAGAAAATATAATTATTAAATTTGGCAGCAGTCCATAGTGTAATTTTGAAACTTTTCCAAACTGAAAAGTATGGGAAATGCTGATCTAGAGCAATGGGCGTCCTGTACTTTTGAGAGTCCTGGTTAGAATAGAATATAACCCTGCATATCATATTTAATAACCTACCCTGGATTTAATAGAATATAGCATACCCTGGATATAATAGAATGTAACCTCCTTAGATGAAAGAGATTTTAACCTGCCCTGGATATAATAGAATGTAACCTCCCTCGGTTATGATAGAATGTAACCTGCCCTGGATATAATAGAATGTAACCTCCCTCGGTTATGATAGAATGTAACCTGCCCTGGATATAATAGAATGTAACCTCACTTGGATATAATAGAATGTAACCTGCCCTGGTTAGAGAAGAACAGGGTTACTTAACCAGGGGTGCCCAGACCCCATGTGCAGAAGCAGTGTCAGGAGTGCTGGAAGATGAAGACCCAAAAAATAATTAAGCTAATTTGCATTTTATTACAGTGCCTGGTAAGGGAAATATTTTGAAATCAAGCGTTGCTGAAAATAAAATAGAATATAACCTACTCTAGATATAATATAACCTACCCAGGATATAATAGAATATAACCTACCATGTATATAAGTATAAGAGAATGTAACCTACGATGTCCATTATAGAATATAACTACCATGTACCGGTATATAATAGAATTTAACCTGCCATGTATATAATAGAATTTAACCTACAATGTATATAATAGAATATAACCCTGAGTATAATAGAATATAACCAACTATGCCTATCATAGAATGTAACATAACATGTATTTAATAGAATGGAAACTGCCTTGGTTAGAATAAAATATAACCTACCCTGGTTAGGGGTCTGGATGTGGATGGTGTGGAAGGATCTTCCAGTATATAGTTAGTTGGTGCACCAGGAATTAGAGTCTGTGGGTTTGAGTTTAGAAGAATTGGCATGCCTTCAGAGAAAAGTTTCAAGAATTGCTTGTAATCCACATTGCCAAACTCATTAACAGGAGACACTCCCCAGAGCTTGTTGAACTGGAAAACAATATTTACAGCTATAAACCACAAAGTTCAAATCTAGGATGGGATCAGGTGGAAAATTGGCAATAAGCCTTTCACACTTTGAAACAAAATAGCACACCAAAATAATATTTAATAACTAGCCTATATACCCGGCGTGACCCAGGATTGCATTAGGACCCCATCCTGGTTTGACCCCCCCGATCGTATTGGGACCCCAATCCCATTCTGATACCGATCTCAGTGCAGTCCCATTTCCCGGTGTGATCCCAATCCCGGTAGATCCATTTAAGGTAAGGATCCCGATCCCGATGGGAGCCCATTTTCTGATGAGATCCTGATCCAGTTGGGATAAAGATTATGATGTGATCCCAACCCATTTGGGATTCCGTATAAAAAAATTCTTAAGTGGTACTGAGAGAACAGTAAACTCCAGGGCAGTATAGAAATGAATTGAACTAACTAAAATTTCATTATCCTTTAGATCCCACTATATATCCCCTTGGAACAATTTAGAACTTTCTGGAAAATTCTAGATTAAATTTAATAACCTGCTCGAAACATGTTTAAAAACTACTTATCTAATTATTTTTCAAATACAATAAAAATCTTCAACAAATTCCATAATTATAACCCTTTTTCTTTTAAGTTTACTGAGGGGCCCCAGGGGCCCATTTCATAACTGTATCAATTTAGTTATGCCTGAGATAAGGGGCCCTATAAAAATCAGTCGGATAAATAATAGAGTTAAAATTTATAATTTGTCCCATTAAAATCTACTTTAAAATGCCATAGATATAGCTTTTTAAAATTATCGTTCTAGAATGGATATTATTAGTTTTAAATCCACCAATATTTCAAAACGGACAATGGAAGGTATTGCTACAAAGCTAGGCCTATATCCATCAATGCACATATAACCTATAGTGTTGTCTAAGCTTATTGATATTTATATAGCTTATATAAGGAAAAATGAACTGGGGCCCCCGGCCCTAGAGAAATGGATATTATGAGTTCAGTAACCTTTGGTATTTGAACATGGATAATAAAGTATATGTGTACTAAGTTTGGTCAAGATCCATCTACTCATGTAGGAGTATTTGTTTCTAATTATTTTTATATAGCTCATATAAGGAAAAATACGAATATGGGGCCCTCGGTCCCAAACGGAATGTTATAAAAACTTCATAACCCATTAAGAGTTCCTTCTGGATCATGATGGATATATGTGCCAAGTTTGGTTAAGATCCATAAATCCATATAAAAATCTTTGTGGAACAAACAGACACCGCCACAAACATTCACTTTTATATATATATATTAGCCGATATACCCGGCGGTGCCCGGATTGCATTAGGACCCCATCCGGGTGTGACCCTGATCCCATTGGGACCCCGATGCCACTGGGACCTTAATCCCATTCTTACATCGATCCCAGCTAAGTCCCATTTCCCGATGTAATCCCGATCCTTGTGGATCCATTCAAGGTTAGGATCCCGATCCCGGTGGGAGCCCATTTTCTGGTGGGATCCTGATCCCATTGGGATAAAGATTATGATGGGATCCCGACCCATTTGGGATCCCCTATCAAAAAATTCTTCTGTGTAACTGAGATGACAGTAAACTCCGGGGCAGTATAGAAATGAATAGAGCTCACTAACATTTCAATAATCCCTTAGATCCCACTATATTTCTCCTTGTAACAATTTAGACTTTTCTGGAATATTATAGATTAAATTTAATAACCTGCTCGAAACATGTGTAAAAACTACTTTTCTAATTATTTTTTTTAAATACGACAAAAATCTTCAACAATTGCAATAAATATAATCCTTTTTCTTTTAAGTTAATCAAGGGGCCCAGGGGGGCCCATTCCATAACTGTACCGATTTAGTTATGCCTGAGATAAGGGGCACTAAAAATATCAGATGGATAAAAAATAGAGTTAAATTTAAAATTGGTCCCATTAAAATCTACTTAAAAATGCCATAGATATAGCTTTTTAAAATTATCGAACTTTCTGGAAAATTCTAGATCGGCCTGCATGGATTGGATATTCTAAGTTTTAAATCCACCAATATTTCAATATGGACAATGAAGGTTATTGCTACCATGCTAGGCTTATATCCATCATTTGTCATAGAACCTATTATGTTGTTTAATCTTATTGATATTTATATAGCTTATATAAGAAAAAAAGAAATGGGGCCGCGGCCCCAGAATAATGGATATTATGAGTTCAGTGTTCTTCAGTATTTAAATATGGTCAATTAAGTGTATGTGTACTAAGTTTGGTCAAGATCCATATATTCATGTAGGAGTATTAAGCTTTTTGATATTTATATAGCTTATTTAAGGAAAAATGAAATTGGCCCCCGGCCCCAAAAGAATGGATATTATTAGTTCAGTACCCTTCGGTATTTGAGTATGGATAATAAAGAGTATGTGATCTAAGTTTGGTCAAGATCACCATCCATTCGTGTGGGAGTCTTTGTTTCTAATTATTTTTATATAGTTCATATACGAAAAAAACAACATTTTGGGCCCCTGGCCCCAAATGAAATGTTATAAAAAGTTCATAGCCCCTTAAGAGTTCTTTCTGGATCATGATAGATATATGTGCAAAGTTTGGTCAAGATCCATCAATCCATATAAAAGCCTTTGTGGAACAAACCCACAAACACCGCCACAAACATTCACTTTTATATATATATGATATGATAAAGTAGGCCAACTGATAATTTTTAAATTCACGATTGTTAATATCGTTACCTGTTCATCATTCATTATCACAGCATATCTGGCAATCACTTGCTTGAATTCTTCTGCAGTAACAGATCCAATTTGAGCGACATCAAAACTTTCAAAGTCTCTCAGAATCTTGTGATAATGGGAAACAACCGCCTCATGAATTCTCTCAGTGGCCTGATCCACTGAGTCTAAAGTGTTTGGCGTGCCTGCCAAGAATGCATTCTCTACAGACTGGATGTACTGGTCATGTATGGCCATCTGTAAGGAAAAATATGATCACATCTTATATTAAAACAATTTAAGTTCTATTTTTAAACATATACATCTAAATTATTCTTGCCTTTGATAGTAAATTTTTTAGTCCAAAATTAGATGTACCCAATACAAACATGTCAATATTATTAAACTCTTCTGAACTGATGGACAAGAGCATGTGTTTAATGAACAAGAGCATGTGTTTTGTGCCATCTTAAGGCATGGGCCCACTGGGCACTGGCCAGAAATCTCACGTTTATAGGGGGCGTCATGCTTCTGTTGGGCCTCACGGTTCTAGGGCATTATGCTGCCAATATTATTAGTGAATATTGAAATATTTTTGGCAATATATGTTTTTAAAAAAAAATGAAAGCAGCAAGACCGTTTCTCCAGTTTATTTAAGCAAGTTTTTCAATTCTCATATCAATTCCATTTTTTGGAACTACCTTTAGAAAGAGTATCTTTTGAGAAATTATCAATTTGAAAAAAATCCATTAATTATTTTCCTAGTAGGGGGGTGGTGGGGATGGGTGGGGGGTAAATCAAAGAGTCTTACAAAAGGCACCAAACTTTCATTCTTTAGTAATTAAAATAAAGATACAGATATTAGTTAGAAATTCCAAATAAACTTTTAAAGGCACTGCATTTCTTTGTAAATTTTCACTCTCATTTTCCCTCAGATAATTACATATTATTAAATATATCACATGTTTTTTAAATATTTCCTTTCTTCTTTTTTATATCGTTTAGATATAATTTATTTTTAAAATGACCCGTTTCAAACAGCCATGTAAAATTTATAAACCTTTTCTACAAAACAATATTTTTTCTAATTTTTTGTTACTGTCAATTTTGGAAAAACCACCTTAAGTTTTAAATTAAATCTAAAATGATAATTATTATACCAACATACTAATAGATTGTTCCTCCATTAAAAAAATTACTAATCAACTGTATGGAATGGACTTTTTTATTTTACTTACAAAAACTAATTCTTTGATGAATTCGATTAAAGAAATAAAGAGTTTCAAATAAAATTATGAAATAAAATTATTATTTAGATACAACTAAAAATAAAAGGAATTGTGTAGCCCATTCATGGTCAAGGGAACCTAAATTTCAACTAGCATCTGTTCTGTTACTAGCCAATTATGTGTAGAATGATGGAAAACTAAATTCAAATATGTGCCAAAATGCATCCTAACATTTTGAATTTATCAAAATTTTATGCAGAAGGGCTTACTGAAACCTCTCTCTAAACCTTACCCCTAGTTTCGATTGGTGCCCTTTGATTTCATCTCCCTCCCCAATTAAAGTAACAGTACTGACACATTTTAATATTTAAAAAATAAGCGCTGGATATAAATGTAAGTAAATTTAATGATTTGTTTGAACTGACAAAATTATGATTTTCCTTTAGTTTTGTATAAGTAGTTGGGCTATAAAGATTCTAGGGACGAAACTAGGCTGGGGCTTAAAGCATACCCTCAGGTGGCTCTACTATCAGAATGGATGTATGGTTATGTATGGCAGTGGCGAAGAAGTCAGGGCTGGCCCTGGGCATCAAAATGTCTAATTTCGGTACTAAAAGATGCCTTGTCTCCACCTCATTATGGAAAAATTGCCTGAAAGAAACTGGTCAAAAGGCTTAGGCCAACCTATGCCATAATGCTTTTCATAACATTAATTAAATAGTAGGCTACATACAGCCATTCCCAGGAAAGTGGCGCACAGGGCGCAGTATAAAGTCGATTTTGCTGCTCCTATGTGAAATACATCAGATTTTATCATTTAATTCACTATAAGGGCCTCTCTTAAGATGATTTTGCCAACCTCAGATATTGGTACCATTGGTTATTGACCCTCTCATTCCCTTCTTAACATGTCCCTGTGTATGCTGAGGGTAAGGGGGCTCGGTACATTACTAAGCCCAGGGCCCCCACTATGGTAAATAGGCCCCGATAACAGTTTATGACTTTTGCAAGCCTTGGATAAGAACAAGTAATATGGAGGTACAACTGCATGTGTTTTGTGCCATCCTTGGCTTCAAACAAATATTATAGAGATAGAGGTCTCACTTACATCTCCAGTCAAGAGTTCTGACAAGTAATCATTGTAGTGGACGAACATTTCGGAGTCTATGTTAAGGCCAGCTTTGATGAGTTTCCACTGGGGTTTAGTCATAACAAAGCAGAATAAATCTAGGACACGGTGAAAGTCAGAGACTGCCACCTTTCCACACTGTTCTTTATCAAACGCTGCCAACGCCTAATTTGAAAAAAATAAATAAATTAAGACCAAATACACATTTTTGCCTTTGCTTTGATAAAAAATAAAAATGTATTGTTCCCAAAAAGTGTCTGGAATAGAATACAGTTTTGCGGCAGATTGAAATCGGATGACCATCAGCTAAAAAATGATGTAGTTAGATCTGGGCATTGAAATACCATGTTCTCTGTTTAAAACTCTCAGCTAAGGCACGCTTTTAATTAGATATATAGAAACAAATATTTCAAAAGTTAAAGAAACTTTGAGATTAAGATTTAAAAAAAAAACAACTAATTTTAAATTTTCTAAAATCAAAAACACCTAACACTTCAACAAAACAATTATATTTTTGTTACAGTTGAGAAACTTACAGCATTTATTGAGAACCAAAACCTTGAACTTGAAAACACCAACCAATATTTTTGTATGCCCTTTGGCTGTACATTTATTACAGCAGAATCTTTTAAAAAGTATAGTTATTAATATTTGCATAGTTCATAAATATTGTTTTTTATTAGTTGACAGAACTTTGTGTAATCAATAGACGGGTAGAAAACTTTGGCATGCCAAGAACAATTTCAGACAACTATTGTTGTTTTTCCTTACATTGCAAAGATGACCAAGGCTATTTTCAACGGTGAGAGGGCAGGTGTCCTGCCAAAGTGACCTCAGCGGAGAGAAGGCAGGTGTCCTGTCAAGATGACCAAGGCTATATTCAACAGTGAGAAGGCAGGTGTCTTGGCAGATGACCAAGGCTATTTTCAACGGAGAGAAGGCAGGTGTCTTGCCAGTCCTATTTGTGCCTGGAAAGCTTTCCTACAAATGGGCCTCACATGCTTTGGGGTCCGAGTTGGATGAAGTTGATTCTAATTTTCCTTGCTGCACCCTCCCTTTGAGTGTGAGCAGTGCGTTTACTCTCTGAGAATTAGGCTCATATAGGAAGTGTGCCTCCCCAGCTGGTATGATCTAAGGCAGGTATTTCCGACAAATTTAGGTTGATGTTCATGAATTTGAGTGATTCTTTTATACAGCCCTTAAAGCACTTTTTCTACCCACCAGATGAGTGTTTCCCTTAGAGAATTCACAGAACATTAGCTGTTTAGGGAGTCTGCTATCTGGAATTCTCGCAACATGCCCTGCCCATCTGGCTTGTCTTTTTTGCAGGAACATGTGAATTTTGATAAAGTCAGCCTGTTGTGGGACTTCCGTATCAGGGACTTTGTCCTGTCAGCCTGTTGTAGGACATATGAATAAGGGACTTTGTCCTGTCAGCCAGTTGTAGGACTTCTGTATCAAGGATTTTGTCCTGTCAGCCTGTTGTGGGACTTCTGTATAAGGGACTTTGTCCTGCAACCTTATGGCAGGACAACTAATCCATTGGATACAGTAGTTGTTTACTTACAGACAACTAATCTATTGGATCCAGTAGTTTTTTACATAGGTTTATTGTGTGGAGATGGAGGATACAATCTCAGCAGATGTTGTTTAATGTATTGATAAATAAAAATATATGAGAATGTTTGTAATCTATATATGTCTGAAGTCATGTAAAATTTGTTTGTCCAAACCTTTGTAATATCCTCAATGTTTTTTTTAAGCTTATGTTTAAGTTTTTTCTCAGCTTCCTCTGGTGTAAGTTTGTGATATGCTTCAATGCTTAAGTCTTGAAGCTGATTTCCATAGCTGGATTTGCGCCCATCTTCAAATGCATTCAAGAAATCTTCATAATTAATTCGACTTTTGGATGTTCCTAGGCCTATTCTGTAAAAAAAAAAATTCATTTTTTCATTTTAATAATTAAAAAAGTCTACATGACATTGATATATTAGTGTTCATTATTTCCAAAGTAAATTAGAGACACATAGTTTTGAAATGAAAATATACTCATCAATAAGTATTGTGTACACAATTAAATCACACTTTTCTGTAACAATTAAATTTTAAAAATGTTACCATTTTAATATAACTATTGAAACTATCTTTCACTAAGGCAGGTGGACTGGGGCCCATGATAATTTTTAATTTTCCATTAGAATAAACAATTTAATACATCTCTCCATGAGAGTAAAGACTATAAGACATTTTTACGAGAGAGTAAATAATTTAAGACATCCATCAATGAGAGTAAAGACTATAAGACATCTCTCCATGAGAGTGAAGAATTTAAGACATCTCTCCATGAGAGTAAAGAATTTAAGACATCTCTCTATGAGCGTAAATAATTTAAGAAATCTGTCAATGAGAGTAAAGACTACAAGACATTACGCCATGAGAGAAAAGAATTTAAGACACCTTTCCATTAGAATAACTAATTTAAGACACATTTCCATTAGAATAAAGAATTTAATACATCTCTCCATGCAAGTGAATAATTTAAGGCATCTGTCAATGAGAGTAACAAATGTAAGTCATCTGACATGGAGAGTAAAAAATGTAATATATCTGTCAATGAGAGTGAAGAATGTAAGTAACCTGTCCAAGAGAGTAAAAAACTGCTCATCGTCAATGAAGAGATTCTGTTCACTCAAAACTTTCTGTATATCACTTGCTGACAGAGAACCACATTTTTGGGTATCAAACTTGGAGAAAGCACTGAAGAAGTCTGTGTACCCATCTCTGATCTTGTCCCTGAGAAAAGGTCATGAAAAAAAACAACATAACCATTGTGCAGTTCATGTTTACATGACTATAAAATTTATTAATAGAATGTTCAACTATACTATTTTACACACATAGGTGTAATGCACAAATGTAGGACAAAGCAAAAAAGTAACACAACAATGTAACTTACAGATCAGATATTTTCCGACATGTTAATGTTGCATTATGGTAATTAATTTTTGTGACAGATTTTACAATCTGAATGTTCAAATTAACTTACTTAATTTTTTTTTTACCTTAAATATCTCTCCACCATCGCAGTTGGCATGTTTTTGGTCAGATTGGCCTGGTGCCAGGTAATGTCTTCATGCTTCTCCTGCTGCCTTCTTATGTGATCCTCCAAAGAGCAACAGCTGCCATCAATGATGTCATGACTAGTACCAGTATTATCCCCTGAAGCATACTCTGATGCCCCAAGTCTTTGCACAAAGTTTTGGTGGGATATAAAACCTTGGTTGTCAGTGTCTAACCTGTTGAAGATAGTTAACTTAAAAAGTGAACCTGTTATTCTTTTTATCATAGAACAGTGAAATTATTTTTTATAATCCTTGAACATGTTTTTTGAAATGTTATTACCGGCCATTCACCTATTATGTATTTATTGAGTGTTGGGGGGGGGGGGGGGGGGTTTGTGTTTGATTTTGGAGATTTTGGGGTGGGGTTGGGAATCTCAGCAGAAAGTACACATAATTATTAAAGAATTCTGCAATGTTATCTTGAAATTCTGACAGTCAATAAATACCATATTTATATATCTGATGCTATAAAAAATACCATACAAGGTTTTGTAATTATCCTCATACTGTTGCTTTGGTTCGCTAGATATTGACAGTTATATTTGTTCACCAATTGCCAGGGGTATCTAGACAGGTTTTTTGAGGGGGGGGGGAATGCAGCTACCTATCTGATTATGTCTGCTTTTCAATTTCTTAGAGTAACAAAATAATACAAAGCTGTTTTTTCTTTTGTTTTGGGGAGAGGGATAATTGTTAAGAGACAAAAAACAACTTTCCTTGTCTGGATCATGCTGGCAAAGGAAAACCAATCCACAAGTCTTAGAGTGAAACAATCCACAAGTCTTAGAATGAAACAATCCACGAGTCTTAGAATGACACAATCCACGAGTCTTAGAATGACACAATCCGCAAGTCTTAGAATGACACAATCCACAAGTCTTAGAATGACACAATCCACAAGTCTTAGAATGACACAATCCACAAGTCTTAGAATGACACAATCCACAAGTCTTAGAATGACACAATCCACAAGTCTTAGAATGAAACATTTTATTTACCACACAGCCATGAAGCCACTAGTCTAATCCAACATTGGATTTTATGAGTTACAATTAAAATAATAATCAAAGGTCCTCAAAAATTAATTTTTTGAACACTCACTGGATTAGACAGTTTGAATTATGGAGCTAGCATTGTAATAATTTGTTATCAATATATTATTGAATAGTTTTCTAATTATTGACTAATTTTCATAGCCAACTCTCAAATTGAACATGGATACCCATTCCCCACAGAATTGACCAGGGTCTAGCAGGGAGGGGGGTGCTGGCTCCCATGGGGGGGGGGGGATAGACATACTTCCTGTTTGCCTTTGTTTGTTTAAGTTTGTGTGATGTAATTATTTTATTGTCGCTTTGATAGCCTGGACTTTGGAAGAGGGCACAATGAGATGATGACTTCATTTCAAGATGGCAGTAGTACACAGGATGGTAGTTTATTGTTTACCGAACAGAGAGTGATGTTATTATTTAACCAAGTAGACGCAGCCAATGCCTCGGGACCAGACAAATTAAGTGGTCGGCTCATTAAACTATGTTCAGAGCAGCTCTCCTACATTTTTTGTTGCATATTTAATAAACCTTATGTAACTCACACAATACCAGCAATATGGAAAACTTCAGAAATCATACCAATTCAAATCATACAAATCATCCAAAGAAAATTAAGGTAACGTGCAACAACGACTTACGACCTGTTGCACTTACCTCTATTGTCATGAAATGTTTTGAGAAAATAATTCTGAAAGAAATTTTGAATGAAGTACAGCAAAAACTTGACCCCCACCAATTTGCTTACAAACCTGCAAGAAGTACGGAGGACGCAATCTTACTATTGTTGGAGAGACTTTACCATCACCTAGAAAGTCCTAAAACATACGCCAGAGTGCTTTTCTTAGACTTCTCATCAGCATTTAACACCATCCAGCCACACCTTATGATAAAGAAACTTTCCTTGTTAGGTGTCAATTTAAATATTCAAGCTTGGATACTGAACTTTTTAACAAATTGATCACAATATCTCAAAGTAAATAACCAAGTATCTCTAACCAGAGAAATAAGCACCGGGGCATCACAAGGCTGCGTTCTCTCTCCTGTACTGTATACAATATATACAAATGATATTCAAAGTTCAAGCAACACCATTCCAATCTTAAAATTTGCTGATGATACCATGATTGTTGGCTTAATATCTGAAGGAGAAGGCCTATACTGTAACTTAGTAACAAGCTTTATAAATTGGTGCGATGAAAATTTTCTCCAGTTGAATGTCTCAAAAACTAAATAAATGGTTGTTGATTTCAGTAGGGGGAAACACCTGATTACAGATCTCAATATAAAAAATCAAAATGTGGAAAAAGTAGAGGTGTACAAGTACTTAGGTGTCACCATTAATAATATGCTAACATGGCATGAGCACGGCCAAATCCTGTATAAGGAATTCAACCAAAGAATGTTCTACCTCAAAAAACTGTACAATTTTGGCGTAAACAAGCAAGTCGTTAACTTATTCTACAGTGCAACTATTGGAAGCCTGCTTAATTTCAGTATAACCTGCTGGTGTGGGAATTCAACGTCTGATATTAAACACCGCATAAACCGACTAATCAAGAAAGCTAGAAACATTACACAAACTAAACATCCTTCACTTGAAGAACTATTTGAAGAAAGATGTTTTTGCAAAACTAAATACATTTTGGATGATACATCCCACCCTCTTCATCCTAGATACTTAGGATCGCGCCGTTGGGGATGAATTCTTTCCATCAGGGCGAGGACTGACCGATATAAAAATTCTTTTGTTCCCCAATCTGTACGAATTTACCGGCGTGCTTCCTCTGAAGTCACACATCTGAATGAGAAATAATAAGTTCCTGATTTTGCTAAGAGAACTCACTGAATGGCTGTTTCAAATAATTTATTATAAATGTCTTGTGTTCAAATTGTTTTACTTATGTGCTGAAAATGTATAATGCAATCAAAAAACATTTCCATTTATTTGGATCAATAAAAGAATCTTATCTTATCTTATTTTGTTTGGCTACACTAGTGGCTCCTAGAATTATTTGATTCTTGGCACCCTTGCCAAATATATGTTTTTCTCAGGCGACCTATGTCAAATTCTAACAAGTAGGCTACACTTCAAAATAGCAAATACATTTTTAAAATTCAAGGGTTGGGTAAAAATGAATAAAACACATATGTAGGTCTCTAACCAACATCTATCCACATTTAATTTGGTAAGAGCTTCAGTAAACAGTAATTAATCAAGTACTCGAATAAGTTACTGGTTTGCATCAGTACTGCTAGAGATATCCTGTCAAATAGGATTGCAAATGGAAATAAAATTATGAAAATTTTGCAATATTTCCAGGCCCCCCAAACTGAGGATGAAACCGCAGTGCACATATTTAGAAGCACTGGGCTATGGCAAACAGGAGCAGAGCAAACCATTGACACATTTTTATACTGTGACATCATAATTGTTTATAACTAAGAGAGACCGACCAAATGTCAATTTCTGGTTTCCGCCAAACTGAACCGAAAGTTAAAAATGACTTTCTGTCGAAACTGAAGCAGAAACCAAAAGCTTAATGAGACTTTCATCCAAAACAAAAAGATTTACATATTGCGCATACATGGTGCAGGATTGTCAATGAATGAATGAATTGAATAAGCCTAGGGATCCCTAATTTTTATTTTTTTTAGAATTTAAAACAAAAATAACAATGAAAATGTTACCATTCCATAAGATTTTTTTTTTGATAATACTATTCACCTTTGCATATGATAACATTTATGAGCAAGATAATGATAAATAAAATTGAATGTCCCAAATGAATCAATTGAATAAACCTAGGGTTCCCACATTTTATGTAAAAAATATTACCATTCCCGTAACTTTTTATTCCATAAAACTATTTAACTTTGCCTAAGCCTAAATGAAATTTTATTTTTGGAAATCTTGGACAAGTATGTCATCATGCAGCTGTGAGCAGTGTTCACAGAGGATTAGTCATACATAATATGATGACAGCAAGATGTGGAGCAATAATGAATATTGGATTGCCAGCCAACCTGACAGAGTGGCAGTTAGTCTTCTGGTAGATGGCCAAAAGCATGAATCACTTTTGGCCAAAGCCGAAAATGAATTGTTAGTTAACTTTTCTGTTTCTCTCAAAACCAAAAGTTGTTCATATGGCAACTTTCAGTGCTAAAACGAAAACTAGGCAGAGAATGTTCATATGGCAACTTTCAGTGCTAAAACGAAAACTAGGCAGAAAGTGTTCATATGGGAACTTTCAGTGCTAAAACAAAAACTAGGCAGAAAGTGTTCATATGGCAACTTTCAGTGCTAAAACCAAAACTAGGCAGAAAATGTTCATATGGCAACTTTCAGTGCTAAAACGAAAACTAGGCAGAAAGTATTCATATCGCAACTTTCAGTGCTAAAATAAAAACTAGGCAGAAAGTGTTCATATGGTAACTTTCAGTGCTAAAACCAAAACTAGGCAGAAAGTGTTCATATGGCAACTTTCAGTGCTAAAACCAAAACTAGGCAGAAAGTGTTCATATGGCAACTTTCAGTGCTAAAACGAAAACTAGGCAGAAAGTGTTCATGTGGCAACTTTCAGTGCAGAAACCAAAATTCGGTTAGCCTCTATTAACTAAACTGGTTTTTTTTAAGGGGGAGGGAATCTAAAGATCATTTATGCATACTCAGGGGGTGTCCTAAAAACAACATGTTTAACAGGGGGTGGATAGAAATTGACTTTTTGCTTGAGTACATAATACCTAAAAATTTGATTCTAAAAAAAAAATCAATTTTGATTTTGCAATGTAGATACTGGGACTATTTAAACATCTTTTGAACACCCCCATCCCCACACCACCGACCTTGAATGATAAAAATTTTTTTTCTAAACAACACAATTTTAAGACAGCCTTTTGTAGATGGATTACAAACATCAGGTAGATCATGTTACTATAGAGTAAACATTTCATTGAATTTTTTAATGATTGCTTTAATCTCACCCCTTATTAGTGAGCCACACATTAATGGGATGACAAATTTAATGAATCCCTACCATAGCTTAATTTATAATTCATAATTAGATCAAACTTCCAATTGTTTCAGTTTTTATTAAATCCAAACACTCAGATAAGCCATGAGGTTAAATTGTACCTTGCCCACAGCTTCTTGAACTCTACTGGTTGCATGGGAATCACAAATTTGTTGAGTGTCTCTCTTAAGTCTTTCCTAGTTATAACACCATTTGCTTTGTTGTCCATTGAGCGAAATGCCTGCGACGAGATGCAAAGATAAAATTGAAATAATTACCCTGTGAAAAGATGTGAAAATAAGATTGAGATAATTACCCTGTGAAAAGATGTGAAAATAAGAATAAGATTGAGATAATTACCCTGTGAAAATAAGATGGAGATAATTACCCTGTGAAAAGATGTAAAGATAAGATAGAGATAAATACCCAGTGAAAAGTGTTTTAAAACATTTTTAAACTGTTTTTGTTGCAGAACCAATCCATGGAAATTATGATTATATTAGATTATATTAGGATAAATGGATTAAATTTTGTCCATTTCATTTTAAGATAATGTTACCTTTTTTTACTTCAGTTTTTATTTATTATAACTGGTATTCTGGTTTCAGAAAGGAAATCGGACCAATGCTGGATCAATGGTTTTAATGACTCCCTCAAAGTACACAACACTTTCAACATACCAGTGTGCTGTGACACACGAGTGAACCATGTCAACACACCAGGGTGCTGTGACACACCAGTTGAAACCCACTGATCTACATTTATTAGTAATCCAGAGATGTTGTTGTTATCTCATTATGAGGACCAAATTAACTTTGCACAAATTAAAAGTTAAAGATAAATGAGGAGATAATTAAATTTGCTGACTCAAATGTTATATCTCAATGTTATTTCTCAATGTTATATCTCAATGTTATTTCTCAATATTATATCTCAATGTTATATCTCAATTCCACTAATATCCATGATAACAAAGCAAAGTTTATATCAAGTTAAATTTTTAGTTAATTTGCACGAATTCATTTTTACCATTGATAAATCCTTCCATTGCCGGAAAGCTTTCTGTGCTAGCAATGAGTGAGCGTCTGCTGCTAGCAAAGGCTTGGGGGGAATCGTTTCATTGTATCTGTCAAGATAATCAACAAGAATTCAATAAGAGCTCCATATTGTAACAGTGATATACGAGCTCTCTACTGTCCCAGTCATTTAAGAGATTCCTACCATTACAGTGACATGAGAAATCCCTACCATCACAGTGACATGAGAAATCCCTACCATTAAAGTGACATGAGAAATCCCTACGATTACAGTGACATGAGAAATCCCCACCATCACAGTGATAAAAGAGGTTCTTACCATCAGTGATATAAGGGATCCTTACAACCACAGTGATATACGAGCTCTCTACTGTCCCAGTGACATAATAGATTCCTACCATTACAGTAACATGAGAAATCCCTACCATCACAGTGATATAAGAGGTTCTTACCATCAGTGATTTAAGAGATCCTTACCATCACAGTGATATAAGAAATCCTTACCATCACAGTGATATCACACTCTCTCCCTCTGCCAGAAACCTTGGAGTCACGCTTACGGACACCCTCTCCATGGACAAACATGTCACGAATATATGCAGATCAGCATATAACGAAATTAGAAAAATCAGCACCATTAGACACCTCCTCTCCTTTGATGCCACAAAAACTCTCGTCTCTTCACTCATTCTTTCAAAATTTGACTACTGTAACATTCTTCTCTCAGGCATTCCTCAACACCACATAGAAAAACTTCAGAAGGCACAGAACTCAGCATGCAGACTCATTTTTAAATTAAAGAAACATGACCACATTCAACCACACATGCGGCAACTCCACTGGCTTCCAATATCCTCTCGCATCAAATACAAGTCTTCCAATCTTTGCTTCAACTCGTTCACTGACCCTCACTTTCCTGTCTATCTCTCTGAACTGTTGCTTCCTTACATCCCCACAAGACAACTACGTTCTTCCATTGACAGTAGAACCCTCTCAATCCCAAGAACTAAAACTAAGACCATCGGTGAACGCTCCTTCTGCTTCCATGGGCCCACGTTCTGGAACCAGCTCCCCTTCCATATACGTCATAGTGAAACCTCGTCCATTTTCAAAAAGTCCCTTAAAACTCATCTGTTTAGGTCCGCCTATGACCTGTGATGCACCCTCCTTGCCCTACCTCATTTTCTGTTTCGGGTTGATCCTGAAGTGTCAAAGTGTCCTCGTTTTATAGCCATTTTCATTGTTTCTATAGAATAGTAGTTACTATCCTAGTGTCTCATTTGTATTTACTTAGTTTACATGTTTTAATAATTGTAAAGCGCTTAGAGCTTTATGATAAGCGCTTTATAAAAATGCCTAAATAAATAAATAAATAAATATACGAGCTCTCTACTGTCCCAGTGATATAAGAGATTCCTACCATTACAGTGACATGAATAATCCCTACCATCAGTGTTATAAGAGATTCATTGGTATAAAAGATCCCTACAAAATGTTTTAGTAAAATAATAAAGTTTTGCTTGAGATTAATACTTTTAAAGAAACCAACCCCCCACCCCCCCCCCCCCCCCCCCCCGCCCCCCAGTTTTTATAAATAATCAATCAATAAATATGCTATTACAGAGAATAATATATGAAGTAAATTATTAATGAAACAAGATATATTTAGGCGTGTCTTATCTGCTTAAAAATGTATCTGGCCGAAATGTCTCTTTTATTGTCCTGTCTTTTATTTTCAAGCCTAAACATATCTTGTTCCACAATTTATTTGACAGAGAAGACAAACATAAACATATCTTGTCCCACTATTTATTTGACAGAGAAGACAAACATAAACATATCTTGTCCCACTATTTATTTGACAGAGAAGACAAACATAAACATATCTTGTCCCACTATTTATTTGACAGAGAAGACAAACATAAACATATCTTGTCCCACTATTTATTTGACAGAGAATGGGAAATTGGAAGCTTCTAAAAAATCCAATGTTGTAAGGCTCAACTATGAACAGAATTCAACATTGTAAGACTCAACTATGAACAGAATTCAACATTGTAAGACTCAACTATGAACAGAATTCAACATAGTAAGACTCAACTAGGAACAGAATTCAACATTGTAAGACTCAACTATGAACAGAATTTGACATTGTAAGACTCAACTATGAACAGAATTCAACATTGTAAGACTCATGTTTAAACAGCTCAACTTTGTAAGACACACCTGTGAACAAAATCCAAAATAAAATGAGTAAAACAGAGTATGGTTAAACCTGAAAAATTAAACGCAACAAAACAGCGAATGTGTCGGCAGAAAGCCTTCGTCAGCGAAAACAACAGAAAAAACAAGGCACTTGAAATGATAGACTTTTTCCGGTGTAGGTCTTACCCGGAGACAGTACTTTCATCAGCCCTCAAAAGGGCTAAGAATATTACACGTGCTGATGCCTTCAGACCACGTCTGAGCGACAATGTTGACAGGACAAAACTCATTTTAACTTATCACCCTCACAATCTGATTGCTAAACGTGTTTTCCTTAAACATCGATCTATACTACTCGCAGACACCGACACACGAGAAATTTTCTCTTCCCCACCTCTCATTGTTTTCAGACGGGATAAAAATCTGAGAGACCTGCTTGTACGCAGTCGTATCAATGCTCCCCCCTCCCACTTTGGGACCAAGCCGTGTGGACGCAGTCGTTGCAACACGTGCCCTTTTGTCGTCCAGACTGAACGCATACGTTTCCCCAAGGGCAGTTTTCAGATACGCGACGGTTTCCTCTGTACAAGCCGCAACGTTATCTACGCCATTGTCTGCACCCGCTGTCAGATGACATACATAGGGGAGACTGGACGCCGTCTCTCGGACAGGTGTACCGAACACCTCCGAAACATTACACAAGATAAACAGTGTCCCGTCTCCAAACACTTCAATAGTAGCGACCACCGGGGCAAGGCGGACTTTTCAATAAGTGCGATTGTGGCTAGCACTAACACCGCCAGCCGGGTCAATTTGGAACACAGACTTATCCTGACTTACGGCACTTTGACGCCAGATGGGATTAATGTTATGTCTCTGTTCACAGCTTGACCCTAGCTCCGCCCCTCCACGTTCTGACCTATCACAGTGAACATTTTTCTCCCCCCTTTTTTTCGCCGCTGCTTATTTAAACTCTCACTCATTTTCCTTCTGCCACACTTCTATTGCTGCCCACAGATACTACTTACCAGCTAAGTGCTATTTCTTATTTTTATAACGTTTTTTTCTGTTGTTTTCGCTGACGAAGGCTTTCTGCCGACACGTTCACTGTTTTGTTGCGTTTAATTTTTCAGGTTTAACCATACTCTGTTTTACTCATTTTATTTTGTACTAACCTGATTGCAGTCTCTCCCCTTATTACCCCTGAACAAAATCTAACTTTTCTAGGACTCACCTATGAACAGATTTCAACCATTTATGACCATCTGGCCCATCTTTTAATTCAAATCTTTCCAGGAAATCCACATAACTCATTCGGCAGTTGTTTGTGATGCCCAATGTTGTACAAAGTTTCTCATATTCAGGATCTGTTGTGTGGATCATAAAAGAGTCAAGCATGCGACGAAAACTCTGTTTATCAAGACTTCCTTTGTGAATGTCATCAAACTTGTGAAAAGCTTCCCTTAGGTTCTAAGAATAAAAAAAAAAAGGTAAAAGGTCATAAATGGCTAGTCATAAGATGGTTAAATTCCTTTCAAATTATGGATCAGTAAATTTTGTAAACATATACTAAAATATTAATCTAAGATTTTGATTTTATTCCTTTTGAATTGATTGTGAGCCATTCCCTTTTAATGGCACAAAAAATGTAACCTAGCTCGTCATCCTAGTCAGAGTCATCCAAGTCAGAGTCATCCTAGTCAGCAGAGTCATCCTAGTCAGAGTCATCCTAGTCAGAGTCATCCTAGTTGGGGTCATTATTATTATTATTTGTATTTTTATATAACACAGTACCCCAGCTGAGCTCACTGTGCTGTACATACAATTTAAGAAACATAATGATGAACTTTAAAATTAAGATGCATTAATGGAAATAAAAAACAGCTGTATAAAAAAAAACAAATTTATGTTCCCTCCACCCATTCCAGAGCTATTTACATGTCAAGCCATGGATGGCACACAGCAGCATCATTTATCATTTAGAGGGGGGAATCAGTCAGGATAGTAGAGTTTAAAGAGATGTGTTTTGAGTGCAGTTTTGAAGGCTGTGATGGTCGGCATATTGTGGATGTGTAGAGGAAGTGAATGCCATTGTTTGGGGAGTATGTTCTTTTGTGAGTCTTGGGGACAAAAAGAATATGTGCATCTGCGGAAGAGTGAAGCTGTCGAAGGGGTGAATAGACAGAGAGAAGTTCGGTTAGATAGGAAGGGCAGGAATTCGAGAAAAAGTTGTGGCAGAGAACAGAGAGTTTGTAGTCAATCCATGCTTGTACAGGGAGGGAGCCAGTGAGGGTCAACCTAGTCAGTGTCATTCTAGTCAGTGTCATTCTAGTCAGTGTCATTCTAGTCAGTGAGTCAGTGTCATTCTAGTCAGGGTCATCCTAGTCTCATTTACCAAATACCAAGGAACAGAGCTGTCATGTAGGCCCACCAATCCGGCTGCAGGAGGCTTCAGATAATAAGGGGCCCAAATTTGTGATGTGGAAAAAAATTTAACTATCAGCTTAGAATGAAGGGGGCACAAAATTGAAAAGTGGTAGGGGACATCCAAAAGTCAAACAACAGCTCTGCCTATGGGCCTCGGTTTTGTTTACATTAAACATCTTTGATTAAAAATAGAATAGTTTAAGTTGATTTATAGTAAATGGTCTTTCAAGAGATGTAAATATAAATATAAAGATTTATTAGTAGTAATAGAAGTACTATCTACCTTATGATGTCCTTGGATCAATCACTGAGATCATCACATATGATCAAAAGCTCACTAAGGGTCATCAATAAATTACATACTCACTAATGACTGAGGGAGGAGGTTGTTAATTTAGGAGATGTATATGGGCAGGGGTCTCAACAGAGAAAATATGGGCAGGGGGTCTCAACAGAGAAAATATGGGCAGGGGTTCTCAACAGAGAAAATATAGGCAGGGGGTCTCAATAGGGAAAATATGGGAAGGGTTTCTCAAAAGAGAAAATGGAATTAATAATAATGCAAATAGAAGTGAAACAATATTCTATTTCTTGAACTAAGTATCCATGTTTTACTTTTCTTACAGTGAAATTTTCTCTCAGCTTTTGCCTAAGTTTTGCCTCGATGTCAACTGCTGTCATCCCATATTCCAGACCTCGGATTGGGTTGACTTTATGGTTGCCTGGATGTTCAAAAATGGTAGGGGATGGGTCTAGCTGACGGGGATCCCCAAAGTTCATGATGAAGTCCATGTACTTCATGTGTCCATTGTGCATTTTGAGCTTAGCCATGAGCTCTGAAAATTGCTCATCAGACATCAAAATGCCAAGGTCCGAGAGAATCTGTTCAAAATTGTAAATCATATTTAAGGATGCTCTATATTTCACTTAGGGAAAAAAATCTTGTTTCCTATTGGTTCCCATACAAAAAAAATTACTTGCCCCAAGAGTAAGTTTGTTTAGATTTAAATGCAGAATTAGATCAAGTTAAATGCACAGCAACAGCCAATATAAAATAGGAAGGAGCTAAGCTGACAATGTAGCACTGATTTCAGTAGCATTGATTTCAGTAGCACTGATTTCAATAGCACTGATTTTAGTAGCACTGATTTCAATAGCATACAATATAAAATAAGAACCTACAATTTAAATCATTTTCCATCCTTCAGCCTACTTTATAAAACAATTTTTCTCATATTTCTTATTGTTTTAGATAGACATAAATTTAATATAAAAATTGATCATCAATATTGTGCCTTCAGTTTGCTAGGATAGCATGGAGACAAGTGCTATAGAAGTAATCAATCCTTAGCATCATCATCAATATACCACATCAATATACCATATCAATATAGCAAATGAATATATAAGCTTCTTCAAAGTTATTTAATTTAGTCAAACAATAAAGTTTATAAGTTGAAAAATCAGACCCGTCTAAACTCCTTCTTAGTAATGTGTCCTTTGCTTTGTTTGTCACAAGCTAGAAAAGCTCTACGCAGTTCTGGTGACAGCTGGGACATCTTGTCCTTGAACCTTGTGATGACCTCATCAGCACTCATTTGACTAGTTCTATAGCATTGGTTCAAGGCCATTTGATCATGCCTAAAAATGTTAGAACTCAATATTTGAAAAATAGTAACATTCAAATATTTTTCACACTCTTTCTATGTTGATAGGAAAGTTAATTTTAAAAAATCAATAACATATATACATATTTTTTTGAGGATAAGGTTTAATCATTTTAGAGGTAATCTAAGCTATTACAAAAATTAGTCTCATAAGTCGGCTACAATCTTTAGTATTCTAATTATTTCTATCAGCTAAGTAAGCCTATTTAGTAGCCAGAGACGGAAACTAAAAGAGATATTTCGATATGTCTCAATCTGCACCTGTTGATTAGATCAATGTTCCGCATCACCTCAGCTCTACCGCTGCTCTCCATGATTTGTGAACTGACACCATGTATGTCACCAGGTCTCACATCCACCCCAAGCCTAGCCAAAAACTCCATATAATTGACTTTGCCTTCCTTGAAGTCTGTGCATCTAGTTATCAAGCTGACATATAGAGAAAATGCAGAGAATGAATATATATTAAAATAATTTTATTGCATTGACAAATATGGAGTGAATAATGTCAATCGTTTTTGCTGAATGCATCATGTGTATCAGAGACCATGAATTATTTACAAGTTTGATGACGCAATAGGATGAGTTCTCAAAATGACAGAATTGGATGAGTTCTATGAATGACACAATTGGATGAGTTCTAAGAATGACACAATTGGATTTATTATAAGATTGACACACAATTTGATGAATTCTACGAATGACACACAATTGGATGAGGCCTATAATTACTTTTCGAAATGTTCTTTAGAGATGGGTAGGACCTGCATGTCAAGAATTTTCTTTAGGGTCCCCATTGACATATATCCTTGACCTTTCCTATCATGGTAGGTTAGCCAGTCAGATACATCTTTCCAGTAATAAGTTATTTTTTCTCTCAGCAGCTCTTCAACCTTAGAAAATGGAATATTACAAATAACTACAGTAGAGCGACAATTTCAGAACACTGATTATCCAAATGCCAGTTATCCAAATGCCAGCTATCAGAACAACCTTATTCTTTTATTATTATTATTATAAATGTATGAAATACAAATAACATGTAGCATTGATATAAGAGCAAATCTCATCTTTTTACAATTGAAGTTAACATTGACAGTGAGAAAAAGTTAATAACTTTGTTTATAATCAATTATATGTAATGCAAACTTGAGCTGGTAATCAGGAAAGAAGTTACAGAACAACATTTAAAATAGCATTTGAAACAAAGTTAAAGAGTTGAGATATGATATAATTAAACAACCCCTAAAAATATAGTTTTTCATATAAATCTTTAATAAAATGTAATATTGAGCAATTGGGGTGGGGTTCAAAATTTGACAAAACATGCATAAAAGTAACGCACTTTATAAGAATCTCATTTAGAGCTCCCCACTCAAAGCTCGCAGCTGCACATTTTTATCAGGACCCTGAATTATATAAATATTCTAATGACCCACCTGCTTTTATACCACATATTTATTTCACAAAATATTTAAGAAATGCAAAGGAAAATATTACGCACCAAACGCACTTGCGATATATATTTTTTAAGAATCTCATTTAGGCCATTTATAGGGAATTTTCCTTTAAGTTCCCCTTGAAGAACAGGAAAATCTGATTTTAGGTGGCCAGAAAAGGGGGGTGGGGCTGAAAATTTGAAAGAATGGCTTGTCATTGGCATCAAGTCTGCGTTCTAAGATTCAGCTCAATAGCTTGACGGGAAGTCTGTCACTTAGCCGGGAAGTCTGTCAATTTGCTGTCCAGTGACTTTGCCAGCCAGCCACAAACACAAGCCAAGTTCATATAAAGGATTTAAAAAGGACATAGTTTAAAATTGGAACGAAGCCCAGATTCTGGCCCTACAACACTTTAATTAGTTAATCCACTTGGTTAATCCACTAAATTAATCCACAGACTAATTTTTGAACGCACGTTACAATAAAAAACCCTTGTTGGTCCACTGACCAGTTCTTTCAAACACAATAAAGTGATTATGTGATTATAAATCTTACAGTGTCCCAGTTGAGGATGGCAGGTCTTGGTTTATCATTGTATTTGTGGACAGATTTTAACCACTTATGGCCGTCCTGTTGGAGAAAAGAAAACAAGAAGTAAGTAAGACAAGCTGAAGTCTTAAGACAAGCTGAACTCTGAAGTAAGTAAGACAAGCTGAAGTAAGTAAAACAAGCTGAAGTCTTAAGACAAGCTGAAGTCTGTTTTAAATTAATTAAGAGTGAATCATGAAATTGCTTTTTATTTTTGTTCAGTATTTCAAAACAATACCTTCAAAATAAATAAATGAATAAAAGCTATAACAATACCTTCAAAATAAATAAATGAATAAAAGCTATTGGATTGGCAATGTTTTCAAATTAAATGCCAAAATGAAGGGATTATTAATTGAATAAAGGAAAATTAGAGGTATTATCAGCTGTTACAAATCTAAATAATCACTCTTAAAGTCAATATTGTCACTAATTGACTAAAGGATGACTTTTGTACTTTAAAATATGCTTTAGATGTCCTGTGTTCAATTGCACTATTTTAAAAATGTTTGTCTTTGTAAGACAAGACTATGTATGTGCTGAAAATGAAGATATACATATTAATAAAAAACATTTCCGTTTATTTGGATCAACAAAAAAAATCCTATTTTATCAATTATAACAATGATGGATGCCAAAACAATGATAAATGCCAAAACAATGATACATGCCAAAACAATGATACATGCCAAAACAATGATGATGCCAAAATAATGACAAATGCCTAAAATAATGACAAATGCCAAAACAATGACAAATGCCAAAAAATGATAAATTCCAAAAACAATGATAAATGCCAATACAATTTTGGGTAAACAAACAATTTACTGCCTGCCTTTGTTTCTTTCTCTTCAAACAGCCGGAGAAAAATGTGGTAGTCAATGTTGCTTCCATGATCAGGGTCTATCCGAGACATGAGTTCTTGGAACTGTTTGTCATCAAGTCTGAATGTGAACTTTTCAATAAGTTCTCGAAATTCTTTCCTTGATATTCTACCATCACGATTCTGTAAATATGTAAATAATCTTAGAATGCAAAGTTAATAAAATTATTGTAAAATCTATGTATATACTTGGTAAATCACATAGTTAGCATTCTTTTTAAAAAAAACCTGAGAACATTGTGTGGCATTGATACCTTGTGGGGCAGTGATACCTTGTGGGGCATTGATACATACTGGAGCATTGACACCTTGTGGGGATGTGATAATTGTGGGGCTGTGATAAATGTGGAGGGTGTGGTACATTGTAGGGCAAAATACCTTGTGGGGCTGACACATTTTGGTGCTGTGATACATTTTGGTGCTGTGATACATTTTGGTGCTGTGATACATTTTGGTGCTGTGATACATTTTGGTGCTGTGATACATTGTGGGGTGGTGATAAATTGTGTGGTGGTGATACATTGTGGGACAGTGTTACATTCTGGCGCAATAGTATATTAATTTATATATTCCATAGATCTGAGGCATACTTGCCTTGTCCATCTGTAGAAAAGCTTCTTTCAAGCCATTGTAGTGGGATTGAACACGCTTGTACAACTGTTTCCATATAGAGTCCCATTCAACAACTCGCTGCATCTCCATGATGGGGTAAATTCTGAGATAAGATAAAGGGATTTTATAACTTTTTAACATAAAAAAATAAAAGTTCAGTTGAAGATTGGCTTTTGCATCATTTCCTCAATTGTGCTTTTAATTGCTGTTTATTTTATACTTTTACTTGGTGAGCCACTAAAATTTGTTTAGCTTATTCTGACCTATAGTTAGTAACATAAGAACTATTTAAAAATCCATACAGTTTTTATACAAATCAATTAAAACATACACTTTGACACAAATGTAAAGCAATCAAGCGGAAACCTGGTAAAAAGTTGATGATTAATGTCACCATTTCACATCTGCTTAATTTAAGTGGACATTGGCTTTCACATTCTGGTTATTTTAAGTGGACATTGGCTTTCACATTCTGGTTATTTCTATTATCTTGGATTTATACATGTCTTGGATTTATCTATGTCATGGATTTATTTATGTTCTGGATTTATCTATGTACTGGATTTATCTAAGTATAGGATTTATGTATACATTGCATTTATCTACTTCTTGGATTTATCTATGTCTTGGATTTATCTATGTATTGGATTTATCTAAATCTTGAATGTATCTATCTATTGGAAATTAACTATGTATTGGATTTATCTGTGCATTGGATTTATCTATATCATGGAGTTATCTACTTCTTAGATTTATACAAGTCTTGGATTTATCATTGTCTGATTTTCAAAAATGTGTCTATATTTAGACCATACATCATTCCACTTATTAAATTTGTTCATAAATTAACTATTTGGCCTAACATATCTAAGGAGAAGTTTAAATCACAAATTATATATTTGGCCTAACATATCAAGGGAAAGTTTAAATCACAAATTAAATATTTGGCCTAACATAACAAAGGAAAAGTTTATCAACGGAAAAGTTTAAATCACAAAATAATAACAAGCTTTATTCTTTGGTGTGATGGACATTGACTTTTGTGAATCTACCAACATGATTGAGGAAATGATTGTCACATTCTGGTGGAGGAAGCACCAAATAGCAAATATGAGGTAGCACCAAGTAGCAGACATGAGGAAGCACTAAATAGCAGGCATGAGGAAGCACTAAAAGTAGCAGGCACGAGGAAGCACCAAATAGCAGACATGAGGAAGCTCCAAATAGCAGACATGAGGATGCACCAAATAGCAGACATGAGGATGCACCAAATAGCAGACATGAGGATGCTCCAAATAGCAGACATGAGGATGCACCAAATAGCAGACATGAGGATGCATCAAATAGCAGACCTTGTAAATAAAAACACAGAATAGAACAAGTAGCGACACATGAATACTTGTGATACTACCTAATAAACTGATACTAGTGATACTGCCTAATAACTGAGACTAGAGATACTGCCAAATAAACTGATACTAGTGATACTAGTTGTTATAAAATCAAATAATTACACTATAAAGTAAAAAAGGCAATATAAAATTGAGGTGTGACAATGCACAATGCAGAATTGCTGGTTTTTAAGGCATTGTGGCAATGAGATGTAACAAAACAGAATAGTTTTTAAGGCATTATGGCATTGAGGTGCACAGAATTGCTGTTTTTCTGTGAAGCAGAAGGGTTTCTTCTTATTTCTTTTTACTCTCTGTCCTTAAGATATTCATACATTTTGTATGGAATGATTTGAAAGTAAATCCAGTTACCTGTAATTTGAGCCTATAGGAATGGTCTGTCCATTGCCTATAGAAATAGGGCTCTGAAATTTCTCTAGGAATATTTCCCACGCAACTCTTCCACTTGCTCGAATACCACACCTGAGGAAATAAGAAAATTAAGGAAAGATGACAAAATAGTTGTAAAATGGCATTCTACCAAATTTTCAATGACTTATAAACATATAATAAGTTAAATACTATATAAAGGGCTACATGTGTTATCAATGCTATATAAGGGAATAGAAAGGATATATATATATACAAATAAATATATTTTGGATATATATACACATGAGCAAAACAAAGTATTAGAAATCTGAAAAAAAGAATGCAACAAAACAACCTATGTGTTGGCAAGAAGCTTTCATCAGCAAACAAACAAACGGTCAAAACAGAATTAAATAAAAATAATACTAAGGATTTTGTGGAACTATTTGCTGTTGATTTTACACAGGAAACTATTCTTGGAAGTTGACAGTCTTTTCCAATCTTTCTTGGTTGACCTCCATCTTTATTGGGGACCTCCAGCTTTCTTGGTTGACCTCTCTCTTTCTTGGTTGACCTCCATCTTTCTTGGCTGACTCCAGCTTTCTTGGTTGACCTCCAGCTTTCTTGGTTGACCTCCAGATTTCTTTGCTTTCTTGGTTGACCTCCAGCTTTTTAGCTGACTCCATCTTTCTTGGTTGACCTCCAACTTTCTTGGTTTACCTCCAGCTTTCTTGGCTGACTCCAGCTTTCATGGTTTACCTGCAGCTTTCTTGGCTGACTCCAGCTTTCTTGGTTTACCTCCAGCTTTCTTGGCTGACTCTAGCTATCTTGGTTGAACTTCAGTTTTCTTGGTTAACCTCCAGCTTTATTGGTTGACCTCCATCTTTCTTGGTTGACCTTGAGTTTTCTTTGGTTGACTTCCATCTTTCTTGGTTGACCTCCATCTTTCTTGGTTGACCTCCATCTTTCTTGGTTGACCTCCATCTTTCTTGGTTTACCTCCAGATTTCTTGATTGACCTCCAACTGTGTTGGCTGACTCCATCTTTGTTAGTTGACCTCCAGTTTTCTTGGTTAACCTCCAGCTTTATTGGTTGACCTCCATCTTTCTTGGTGACCTCCATCTTTCTTGGTTGACCTCCATCTGTCTTGTTTGACCTCCAGCATTCTTGGCTGACTCCAGCATTCTTGGCTGACTCCAGCTTTCTTGGTTGACCTCCAGATTTCTTTGTTGACCTCCAGCTTTCTTGGCTGACTTTATCTTTCTTGGTTGACAGCCATTGTTCTTGGCTGACTACTTCTTACTTGGTTGACCCCCATCTTTCTTGGTTGACCTCCACTTTCTTGGCTGACTCCATCTTTCTTGGTTGACTCAAGCTTTCTTGGTATACCTCCAGCTTTCTTGGCTGACTCCATCTTTCTTGGATGACTCCAGCTTTCTTGGTTTACCTCCAGCTTTCTTGGTTGACCTCTCTCTTTCTTGGTTGACCTCCATCTTTCTTGGCTGACTCCAGCTTTCTTGGTTTACTTCCAGCTTTCTTGGTTGACCTCCAGCTTTCTTGGTTGACCTTGAGTTTTCTTTGGTTGACTTCCAGCTTTCTTGCCTGACCTCCAGCTTTCTTAGTTGATGGTGATGATTTTTTGGAAAGTGCTTGTGTCCATGCTATTCTAGTATGCTTAAAGTGCTTTGATGTCATTAACTCTTTATAAAGGAAAATGTCTTTAAATGTCTCTTAAATTAGAGAGACTGCAACTGTATTTGCTGTTCTCTTATCTAGTTGATGGCGCAGCTGACCGAGGGCACATAGATGACAGAAACAAGTCTTGACCACAGAACTGATATGAGGAATCATTGTGAGTTTACTATCAGTGTAGAAGCCAAAGTCTCTAAACGCGCTGGAGATCTCAGAAGCATCAACTTTTATTGATGCAATGGCAACCTTTCGAATATCGGCATCAGAACCACATATAATTGCCTCTATCTTGTCCTCATTTAATTTAAGTCTGTATGGTGCCATCCATGATTTTGCCACAAGACAGCAGTCCTTAACAGCCTGGACAGCAGCAGCACCGTCCAAATGATCTGGGCAGAAACTCTATTCTGTGTCGTCCACAAATAATATGCGGGATATACCATGACTTTGAACAATTCTACCAAACTGGCTAGTGCACATAGAGAACAGAATAGGTCCTGAGACCATGGCACACCTTCCAGTAAGGGAAGTGTCCTTGGAAGATGCTTAATATACTACAATACAGTCCACTGCTCCAACATCAAAAAGAAACTCACCCCTCTCCCCCCTAGACAGCGACGAAGCCATGACAAGCAGTTCCGGCTCATAACAGCAAGAACACAGTACAGGAACTGCTCATTCCTGCCAAAGACAATCAGGGACTGGAACAAGCTTCCAAAAGGAACAGTTGAGGTGACAACACTTGACACATTTGCGTCTTTTGCCTCAGGTCTTCCAACCCCTAGTTCCTGATATGCTCAAAACATTGCGAATCACCTCTACATAAATAGGAGCCAGAATGATCAATACATTGATCGTGGGCCCTGAATATATAGAAGAAGATAAGAAGCAAACCAGCAAAGTGCAGTTCCAGAGATGATCCCTAACTTTCTTGGATGATCTCCAACTTTCTTGTTTGAACTCCATCTTTCTGAGCCATACAGCAGAACAGACTTAAAATTTGAGTTAAAAATTATAATATTTGTCTATCTCCATATTTGACTTGAGTTACAAATATTTTTAAGTAAAGAAAAAGCTTTTTCAATTTTGAAACCAGGACATTTGAAAATTTTAAATATAAAACCAGGACAATAAGCAAAAAATATCTTTTTTGTTACATGAAGAGCTCTTCTGTTTGTGAGGGTTTCTTTTGAACAAAATAGTATCATGATACTACTTAATGGAACATATATATTTTTAGTTATTTTATTTATTTATACCTGAGTGTGCTCTATCTTTTGTTAAATTAATACATTTTATTTTGTAGCCTTTAACTGTACCAGATACAACTCTAACTTACCAGGACTATGATCTAATAACCAGTAACTCATTGGTAAAAAACAGTACAAATGGTCAACTTAGTCATTTGAGACAAATTCTACAGGTGGGAAGAGGCCACCTTTGACCTCACATACACTAAAAATTATGCTAACGTTCTTACCTGCCATTTGCAGTGTACATTTAATCTTAAAGGTTAAATAAAAAAATTTAAAAAAAATTGATAAGCAATAAAATGTTCAGTTTTTTTAAAATTCATTACCCCATGTAGGAATTTTGAGATTTATAAATTATCTAAATCAGAACAATTGTTATGGATGTTCCCCTGATCTAACAGAAGTGTAACTCTGGATTAGAGTTAGGGTTATTGATGCTCCCTCATGTTATAGAAGTGAAACTCAGGATTAGGGCTAGGGTTTAATATTATTAAAAAAACAAAAATAAATGTTTGACAATATCTTGAAAAAACACTTGGAGTTGAAAAAAAGGGGGGGGGGGGAGTGGTTCGTATATCTCTATAAGGACACAGATATCTTATAACCCAAATTGTTACACATATAAACATTAAGATTTAGATTTTCTTTCAAATTTAGGAACTATAAATTATACCAGTTACGGCACCTAACAAAATGGTATTTACATTTTATAGAGGATTCCAATGTCTCAAAAGACATAGACATATGTAAAATGATTCTTCTTTAAAAAAGAAGAAATATGTGATCACAATTTTTAGAATAGAGTTCTGCTACATGGAAAAAATAGATATTTAGGAGGTCACTATGTCTTCAGATGTGATGTTACATGAGGACACCACATATTCAGACTTGATGCTACAGATGTGAAAATCTGGATTTAAATTCATCTTTAAAAATAAATTTAAAGCATTATATCATTTGCCGATAAAACAGTTCAGAAGCATTGAAAATGGGGCTGGGATATTTTTATGAGTTTACAAATATCTCTAACATCTAGGTTAGAGCCATGAAAACTGGGATATTTAAAAAAAAAAAAAAAATTACGGTTATAACCCAATTTAAGTTGATTCCATTCAGGTTTGCATTAATTAATGGTGCTTTGGTAATAATATTTTCTTTAATCACATATTTTTGCCTGCGTCATTAATTTGCCAAGGTCAGAATCCACAGATTTTAATTCAGTGTTAAAAAGGGTTTGTCTCATTAAAAGTTCAATGAAAAACACTTTAGACAAGCCATTTATTCATTTGTTGTTTCTTTGGTTTCGATTTTTATGACAATTAAAATGGTCTCGCATGTTAAATAGCATTTATTGAAATTGAAGGATTGTCTAAGTGAAAAATTAATTGCATTTTCTCCTACCTTTCCATTAACTGGAGAAACAGCTCATCAGACATAGGCAAGGTAAAGCTGTTGAGAATAGATTTAAGATCCTCAATGGACACGTAGCCATCTAAATGTTTGTCGAAGGACATAAAAGTCTTTTTAAGTTTCAAATAGTTGTTCCGCATCTGTAAAAACAAGATTTTTTAATGTCTGAATATTTTTTCTTACTAAATACTTTTGTCTCACTTAAGAAAAAAGCCAAATGATAAAAATGGTGTAACTAATTATAGTTTAATAAAATTATATTTAAATAATTTATATAAACAAATTTTTAAAATAATTTGTAAAAGAAGCTTTATTTTCTATTTCCATGCTTCTTCTTCTACATTTGAGGGCTCACGATCATTGTAAATTGATCATTCTGGCTCCTGCTGTGCCTGTAGAAAGAGAAAGCTCCAAGAGTGTGGATACATACCCTCTTTCGAAACTCAAACTCAATCTGCTCTAATGTCAGGGAACGTATAAGCTTCTCGTCTTCTTTCTGCTGGTATTGCAGCTGACCCGCTGCTCCTTTATTGTGCCTGGACCATGATGTAATCCCTTTTGGCCATTGGGGAACTAACAAATTATTGGAATTAGGGATATTATTAGAATGACCAATAAAGTCTTGTAAGAAGTCAGACATAAAACTATCAAATGGCAGACATTTTAATTCAGTAAATGACAGACGCTTTAATTTATCAAATGAAAGACTCTTTAATATATTTTATAAGAGACCCATGGATACAAAATTCAGTTAAAAAAAGACAATACCTCCTGCTGCTGTCCTTGCTGGCAATAGGTTTCTGTTCAGTTTAACAATGACTCCCAGTCTTGCAAAGAAATCCTGGTAATTGACAAGCCCAGTGTGCTGAAAGTCATAGCGATCCCACAGTCTGAGGGATATCATCAAATTGATAGACATTTTAAAATATCATGTTTTAGTTGTATAAAATATCGAGATGTTAAATAAAAGCCAAATTTTGGTCAGTATCTGAAAATCAGGGAAATATTAGCGCAAATTCTATATTTAAAGCCATATTTACTGTTAGCGTCTAAACAGGGAAATACTAGCACAAATGGTATCATTAAAGTGCAGCTAAAATAGCATGTTAAAACATAACCCCCCCCCCCCCCCCCCACATACACAAACATTTTCCCTAGCCTTTCAAGATAAAGCAGAATAAATAAAATTCATTCCTAAATACCATCTCTCTAAAGTTGGCCACATATTGTATTGGTTACATATTTACTGTTAGCGTCTAAACAGGGAAATACTAGCACAAATGGTATCATTAAAGTGCAGCTAAAATAGCATGTTAAAACATAACCCCCCACCCCCCCCCCCACATACACAAACATTTTCCCTAGCCTTTCAAGATAAAGCAGAATAAATAAAATTCATTCCTAAATACCATCTCTCTAAAGTTGGCCACATATTGTATTGGTTGCACTTAATTCATTACAACTAATGGACATCGGCATAGACATCAACATTTTTAGCACATTAGCTGCACAGACATACAACATTCATATCACATTTGCTGTATAGACATACACCATTCATATCACATTAGCTGTATAGACATACAGCATTAATATCACATAGCTGTATAGTCATTTAGCATTCATAATCACATTAGCTACATAGACATTCAACATTCTTATTACATTTTGATATATTTATTTATTTGATACATTTAAAACAAAAAATTCCTTAAAATAACATTAAAAAAAATCTCCTTGTAAAAAATTGACCAAACTTTTCATATTGCTCATCAGTAAATTTGAAACAGTGGTTCTCCAGGACTCTCCGAAGCTCATTCTTCTGTACCTTGCCATCCATGTTGAAGTCAGACATTTGCAGTCCTTTCAAAACTGATCTTAGGTTTGCATTTATCTGGCATAGAAAACATGTGATTTTTAGTGGCATTTTTTAAAAAACTTTCATTGAGTCAATAAAATTTAATTTTAAAACCCAGTTAAATTCAACTCTCCTCAGGCAAGAATTGCCAATATGCTTTATTCCAGGCCCCTACACTGGGTTTAAAAAAATAATAACAATCTTATATTGATTTGGGGATAAATATTGTATATTGATTAGAGGATAAGTCTTGTAACTCTTCTCTGACTGTTGGGGATAAGTCTTGTAGGTCTTCTCTGACTGTTGGGGATAAGTCTTGTAAGTTTTCTCTGACTGTTGGGTATAAGTCTTGTTAGTCTTCTCTGACTGTTGGGGATAAGTCTTGTTAGTATTCTCTGACTATTGGTAAGTGATGTTTATATATCTAATACATTATTGATTTCTATTTTATTCTATGAGTTGGTCTCCATTTATCAACTATTTGCCTATTTCCAGTCTTCTGAAACTTTCTACCATCTTGATAACTGAAGCCTATCTTCTTAGATTTAGTGAATCAATATTAGTATGCCTATGTTTGGTATTATTAAAGGAAATATTAAGTCTCTTGAATGAAGTGAAATACCTGGCTTTTAACTTTTTGAAAATAATCAAAGAAACTAAGAATATTTTAAGAAGATATATATTCTTATAAAACTACATAACATAAATAATAATTCCAAGCACAAAATGTCATATCTAATATTTCAAAGAATATCAATAAAAATAAACAATTCTATTATTAAATGAAACAAACAACTTAATTAACAAATATTATGTAAAAGTATTTATTGCAATGTTTCATTGTCCTAATGCAAAGTTACTTACTTTATCTTTAAGCAGCTTCTCTAAAATATCTAAATTCAATTCTTTTGGGGTATGTAGTCCCAACCTGAGAGGAGCAGGAATATTTATGTAATTAGCAAGTTTAAAAATGAATATATATGAGTGACCTTTAAAAAAAATCTTATATATATATATATAAAAGTGAATGTTTGTGGGTTTGTTCCACATACGTTTTTACATGTATTGAGGGATCTTGACCAAACTTGGCACATATGTCCATCATTATCCGGAAGGAACTCCTAAGGGGTTATGAAGTTTCATAACATTCGCTTTTGGGGCAGAGGACCATGAATTTCCTATTTTCTTATATGAGCTGTATAAATAAAATTACCAACAAATACTTCTACATGAATCAATGGATCTTGACTAAACTTAGTGCACATACACTTGATTATCAATATTCAAATACTGAACTCATAATATCCATTTCTCTGGGGCCCCAGATCTGGGGCCTGGAGCCCCATTTCATTTTCCTTATATAAGCTATATAATTATTTATAGACTTAATTAGACAACACTATAGGTTCTCTGTGAATTGATGGATCTAGCATTATGATCGAAGCAAGATCGGGATCACACCAAGAAAATAGATCCCAACGGAATCAGGAACCCACAACAACTGGGATTAGAATACCAATGCTCAGGATACCAATATACCATCGGGAAATGGGATCTGATTGTTTTCCCTCTGGGATTGGGATTCTATCAGGGAATGAATGGTTTACAAAAGTTATTATAAATGTGTTGTTTTTTTTTTTACTAAAGTGGAGTTGTTTTTTTTTACAAGGTGCTTAAATTTAATGTTAAGTTGTAGGATTTCCTCTTTGCCGAATACTATTCAGGCAAATGCCGGGTATATTGGCTAGTATGAAATAATTTACAGTCTTCTTTATGAACGAATTAGAGTACTGGTACATTTCTTTTGTTATTTTCAGTTGAAGTAAAAAGGTATCAAAGCTACGATGTGCCATCCATAAATGTTGTCATTCCATTTCTGTCTATTTTACCCCCCCCCCCCCACCCCCCCCATATTCAGCAAGTNCCCCCCCTAACATCATTTTTAGTTTGGGTAGCCGAGCATTAAACTAACTCGATCCAAACAGCTGGTGGTCTGAAGTTCAATCCCCACCAAAGCCAAGACAGGCAAAAACATCCCAAGCACCCTGGGTGGATGGGACTCATTAGCCTTGGACTGCAAGTCATCAAAGAGAGGGCAAACTCTGAATTCAAACCAGGAGTCAAAATGATCAATAAATGTGGGCCCTCAAATATAGAAGAAAAAGAAACACTACAAGAATAGAATAAATGCCCTATAGCCTTTACCCATTGAAGACACACTTGGAGATCTTATAAATGCTTTACTGCTCCTATCAATTGAAGACACATTTGCAGATCATATAAATGCCTTATTGGCCCTATCAGTTACAACCACACTTGCAGATCCTATAAATGCCTTATTGGCCCTATCAATTTAAGACACACTTGAAGATCCTATAAATGTTTTATTGGCCCTATCAATCGAAGACACACTTGCAGAGCCTATAAATGCCTTATTGGCCCTATCAGTTAAAGCCACACTAGCAGATCCTATAAATGCCTTATTGGCCCTATCAGTTAAAGCCACACTAGCAGATCCTATAAATGCCTTATTGGCCCTATCAGTTACAACCACACTTGCAGATCCTATAAATGCCTTATTGGCCCTATCAATCGAAGACACACTTGCAGAGCCTATAAATGCCTTATTGGCCCTATCAGTTAAAGCCACACTAGCAGATCCTATAAATGCCTTATTGGCCCTATCAGTTAAAACCACACTAGCAGATCCTATAAATGCCTTATTGGCCCTATCAGTTACAACCACACTTGCAGATCCTATAAATGCCTTATTGGCCCTATCAATCGAAGACACACTTGCAGATCCTATAAATGCCTTATTGGCCCTATCAGTTAAAGCCACACTAGCAGATCCTATAAATGCCTTATTGGCCCTATCAGTTAAAACCACACTAGCAGATCCTATAAATGCCTTATTGGCCCTATCAATTGAAGACACACTTGAAGATCCTATGAAAGTAAATCTATCTCATAAGGTATTATATATAAAACCAACTAAAAAACGCAAAAAGTTGTCTTATGTTTTCCACAATTTTTGCCTCCTTTTTTATGCCAAAGTTTTAAAGGTTATTGGTTCTTAATGTAAAGAAATGAAATTCCTACCTTAGATTTCCTATCGTGTTTGATGCATCCAAACCATGAAATTTTCTGAGGAAATCTACATAGTTGACTCTTGTACCACCATTTGTTAATGATAGCTGTTTTTAGAAATTAAAAAATTAGTGTCATTTTAATCTCAGAATCTACTACAGGGTAGTTAATTTTGTTTTTGTATCTTCACAATTAGGTTTAACATAACAAATATAGATGCAAATCAAGCGAGGCTAAAATATGATGAAACAAGTCTTTGTTTCAGTAGTTATGTCATAAAATATGATGAAACAAATCTTTGTTTCAGTAGTTATGTCATAAAATATGATGAAACAAGTATTTTTTTCAGTAGTTATGGCATAAAAAATGATGAAACAAGTTTTTGTTTCAGTAGTTATGTCATAAAAATATGATGAAACAAGTCTTTGTTTTAGTTGTTAAGTCATAAAAATATGATGAAACAAGTTTTTGTTTTATTATGGTTCATAATACAGCAGGACAAAACAGAAAAGTGTAATTAACACCAACTGCCAGTGTAAAAGAGACTGAAAAAGAATAAAACATGATAATTCTTAGTAGAAAAGTAAACCAGCGAAGTCTTAGTAGAAAAGTAAACATGGGAAGTCTTAGTAGAAAAGTAAACATGCAAAGTCTTAGTAAAAAAGTAAACATGAGAAGTCTTAGTAGAAAAGTAAACATGAGAAGAAATAGTAAAAAAGTAAACATGCATGTCTTAGTAGAAAAATAAGCAAAACAATATATTAAAAAAAAAACGGAAAGTGAACAAAACTTACCTTTGCCAAAATAGAATTAAACTCTTCTGAAGTGAGAGGCATACAGTTACATTCCAAAACTCTACGAAATTCGTCTTTGGTTACTTTCTCATCATCATCAACATCATACATTTTAAAAGCCTAGTTATTGGGAAGAAGAGTTATAATAGATAGGAATTATGTATGATTAAAATGTTCTATAATTTGTTCCACCTACTGAGGAGAAGTGAAAAATGCATGCGTAGAACCAGTAGCAATGACAAAAGCATCAAAGTTGAAGTCTTCAAAGCACTAATAACTTAATAATATAATTCTAACCTAGCGGTTTTCAACCTTCTTAGTGACCGCTCTATATCTTTTTCCAAGTTTTGAGCACCCACGACCAAAATTATACCTTGCAATTAAGAAACAGGTGTTGAGATGGAGGGGGNGGGGGGGGGGGGGCAGAGCTTTTTTGTAAAGGGGGCTCTGTAGTGGGGGCTCTGTATAGGAGAGCTGTGTAAAGGGGACTCTGTAGAGGGGGGCTCTATAGAGGGGCTATGTAGGTCAATCTCCAGAAAAGTTTGATGTATTGCCACAAATTATTACAGTTTTACCTGGGGTTTACTAGGGAAAATACGATGTAAAAAAAGTAAAAATACAAAAAAGTAAAACGACAACAAAAATTAAAATCATATAATAATATAATAATGTTTAACATAATGTTAATAACAAAATGAAAAGGAACCGCCAAAATGTTTCTTTGAATTAGCTGCGGACGTGCACCACACGAAACATTACTTTTTGGTTTTGATTGTAGCTGGATTGTAGCTGGAGTGCAGTAACAATAAGAAACTATTCCGATAACTTTAAATAATATTTAAATTACACACAAAAAACACATACACACCAAACATAAACAATACCACCCATACCACACACAAACCATACAAACAAACACCATACACACAAACAACACACAAGACACACACCAAACACCCTCTACACACAAACTCACACCCATGGCATCCGCAGCCCACACCAGAATGCATGCACACATGCACAAACTTTGGCTACTCAGTATAATCAGCCAGGAAGTATGTGAAATTAAATAATTGTAAATAGAAAGTGCCATGGTCATGAGTACCAAAGATATGCATCTTGCTAGGAAAAATAATGACACAAAATTTGCAGCAAATACATATAAGTATTTTAAGAACTTCACGGTTTCATTTATTTTAATACTAGTAGCTAATCAGTAACTGTTCCATTTTTTGCAAGGTCAAATTTTTTGCAGGGGGTGCTGATATCTGCTTTTCTGTATATCACAGGGTCAATACCCCACTCAGCCCTAACTTCCATCTTTTATTTATTTATTTATTTATTTAGGCATTTTTATATAGCGCTTATCATAAAGCTCTAAGCGCTTTACAATTATTAAAACATGTAAACTAAGTAAATACAAATGAGACACTAGGATAGTAACTACTATTCTATAGAAACAATGAAAATGGCTATAAAAAGAGGACACTTTGACACTTCAGGATTAAACCGAAACAGAAAATTATCTTTTGATAATGTTTGAATATTGTATTGAATTCAAAATCATCATTTCTTTAAATAGTAATAGCAACAACTTTATGATATCTTTGTATTGATTTCCTAGTTTTATGGTAGATTTGATGCATATTATTTTAATGTTTTTTATGTGTGTGTTGTAAAAGTGTTGTAAAAATAAAAATGAGCTCAGGAATAAAACAGTGTGAGACATTTTAAACAGGAATAGAGTCATTTTGAACATGAATAGAGTCATTTTGAACAGGATGAAATCACGACTTTGACAGTGACACAAGTATAAATCAAGACATTAAAGCTGAAAAGGGAGTGGTTAGTTTAGGTGTCACTATAAATTGTTAATGACCAACGATGGCCGGATAATCATTCTGTACAATACTTGCAAGCCAGAGCCAAAGCTCTGGGAAAAAAGACGAAAAACTAAGTTGAGTATTCCCAATTTTATCATGAGTGAGTGGCTGCAATGCAAAAAAACAAAGACAACCAGCATATTTATTTCCTAAAAAAGTTAGCGAAGAAGGCGACGTTAGAAAAAAAGATAGTTACAAGATTTGTGAAACTGACATTTCAAAATATCATCATTGTTTTGTTTGGAATTACTGCATCCAGTCAAAAGAATTGTTTTCAATCCCTATCATTCCATGAGTTGACTTCACATACTTTATTTTTGAAAATGTTTGCTCACAGACATAAGTTTATCTATGCATGCTGCAAATGGATGCAAACTCATCCATTATCTGAAAGTCCCAATTGACACCACAAATAAACATGTGAAGTTGTGAGAGATCAGTAGATTCATTCAGTGTCAGAGAGTACCACAGAAAGTTCCTAGCTTTCTCACGTATCTTTAGCACTATGTTCTATCCAAGTTCTTCTGTTCTCCGCACAACTGAACTTGCTGAAGGGCTGTTAGTTCCTCTTTTTTCATCCATTTGCTGTTTGTGGTAGTTACCCGACAATAATATATTAGCGGGAATAGGCTTTATGGAAATTGATTATTATTTTATAATTTTTTAAAACCAGTTTTTCCTAAAAACAACAAACTCCAGTTACTAGGTAGGTTTTTAAAATAATGTCATCATTTGTTAATTACTTCTGCAAAGCAAAGTGACCTCAGACTGCAATACAAACGTCGGTCATCTACTTAGAGTAGTTAACTTTTTGACACCAGCTTAACTCGATTCCACAAGGCATTGCGATGCGATTAGTTACTGTATTCATTTTACATATTGTATGTTTATTTATTTACTATTAAGATAATGTATTGTTTGATGTTGAGACCAAATTGTACGATTTTAGGAGTTCGAGGGTTAACAGGTGTGTGATAACATGAAAATCTAGATACAATAATTTAAAATTGTAAAGGGTAAATTAAGGCGCAGTTTGGTGACCCCTAGGCTAGTTGATGTCCATTTAGACGGAGGGAAGCGTTAGCTTAATTAGAGTGCCAGAGAAATAGAAATTGATTAGCACTGGAAAGGAATCTCTAGAGACATCACGACTGATTCGTGGACTTATAAAAGGTGATAAAAGGGACAAGAGAGAGCTCGGCCAGACAAGAAAGAGGACAGACAGGAGGAAGAAGTCAGCCAGACAAGAGTAGAAGACAACATGAGAAAACACTAACGAAAGAGAGAGATGAACCGGGAGAGTCAGAGCTGAGTGCGAGAGAGAGAGAAAGAAGAGAGAAGTAGCTGATAAATAAAAAAGCAAAGACTATAACCTTCAACGAATTCTCTGTTACTTGTATGTTGAATGACGAGTGACAGTAAGCGAGTGTTATCATCCACACAACGGAATAGAGACGTCAGTAGAACAGAGATGAACCAAGTTATCATCCACAAAACGAAATAGAGACGACAGTAGAACAGAGATGAACCAAGGTTCTCTACAATATGTTGAATGACAAGTGACAGTAAACAAATGTTATCATCCACACAACGAAATAGAGATGACGGCAGAACAGAGACGAACCAAGGTTCTCTACAATACGTTATTCGTTTAATTCAGATATTGAAATAAAGAAATTTCAGAGTTGTACACAGAAAAAAAAGAATAAGTATGGTATGTATGGCTCTGCTTGTGAGGTACAGAAGGCTTCAGATGTCTACATGAGATAGAAGTTTGAGATTTACTGTAAAAGCGCAATAGTTGAGTTTTTTGGAGAAGTGCCTGTCATAAAAGGATTAGGTTCTTTGGAAAAAATTTAGTTTATCCACTTTAGCTTAAACTTTGTCAATATAACTACTCTCAAACTTTGTCAATATAAATACTCTCAAAATTTGTCAATATAACTACTATAAACCTTGTCAAAAAACTACTCTCAAACTTTGTCAATACAACTACTCTCAAACTTTGTCAATACAACTACTCTCAAAATTTATCAATACAACTACTCTCAAAATTTGTCCATAAAACTACTCTCAAACTTTGTCAATACAACTACTCTCAAAATTTGTCCATAAAACTACTCTCAAACTTTGTCAATACAACTACTCTCAAACTTTGTCAATACAACTACTCTCAAACTTTGTCAATACAACTACTCTCAAAATTTGTCCATAAAACTAATCTCAAACTTTGTCAATATCAATACTCTCAAACTTTGTCAATATAACACTTTTTCAATATAACTACTCTCAAACCTTGTCAATGTAACTACTCTCAAATCTTGTCAATGTAACTACTCTCAAACTTTGTCAATGTAACTTCTCTCAAACTTTGTCAATATAAATACTCTCAAACTTTGTCAATATAAATACTGCACTCTCAAACTTTGTCAATATAGGCCTAAACACTCTCAAACTTTGTCAATATAACTAGGCCCAACTAAGTTTTACTTTAAAAAAATTAAAATTCTGAAATAATTCCTCATAAATATAGTTTAAAAAGTTACATAATAAACACTATGATATTTTAGATTAGAATCATAAAGGATGCATGGATTAAAAGTCCTCTCGCTATTAAAATGATAAAAATATCTAACAGATGACTATGCAAGTCAGTTGCCTGATTAAGTATCATTAAAGGTATCGACAGGGTTGTTGGTGGGCACTAAGGGTTTTGGCCATAGTTTCCCCTATAACTCATGGCCAGTAACGCTGCAAGGGGAGTAAGGAGTGGGACCTCCGTTTCGGGTGGCACTTTTTTCTTTATATTTAGGAGCAGCATTTTCTGCAACCTTCAGAGTTTTTTTTATTGAAGAGAGCAAAAAGAATCCCCCCCCCCCCCCCCCCCCCCCCCCACCGTTTCGGGTGGCACTTTTTTCTTTATATTTAGGAGCAGCATTTTCTGCAACCTTCAGAGTTTTTTTTATTGAAGAGAGCAAAAAGAATCCCCCCCCCCCACCCCACAGACAGCAACAACCCTAGCTACACCACAGCTCATGCATTACTATCAAAATCTATTACAGAACAATATTTTTTAAAACTTATTCAACCCATCTCATTTACTCAATTGCTGCACTTTAGATTTTCACAAACAAAAGCTGTGATATTTTAAAATAATTAAACTTTTCATATAGCTTAATCATATTTTTTAAAATATCATGCACACAGTTGCAAAGCAAGGGTATTTAGCTAGTTTATAGATTATATGTTATACTCACATAAATATAATTTTCCACTGCTAATCGTGACATTTATTGTCAGTAAGGAACGTGAAATGGAATAAATTACATTTTAATTCCATAGCTTAATTTTAGAATACCTTTTGAAGTTGATCAAGTTTTTTATAAACTTTTTCTCTCAAAGCAGCTTCAATTTCAATGCTTGACCTTTTTAGGCCTACATGTGGAAAGGGAATGGATTCACAGCCCTCTCTATGTATTAGACCTGTAAGAACATGACAACCATTCAAGTAAAGGAAGCTTAAAAGCAAAGTAGGTAAACAGGTAATATAGATAAACACTTACTTAAGTTGTAAAATGGAAGGAATAGCTAAGAATAAAAAAAAAAAGAACAATGATATAAATATGAAAGAAATAGCTGTAGAACTGTTATATAAAATGAGTAAAACAGAGTAGAGTTAAACCTGAATAAATGGAGGTCTGAGAGTTAAGAATATTACCCGTGCTGATGCCTTCAGGCCACGTCTGAGCGACAATGTTGACAAGACAAAACTCATTATAACTTATCACCCTCACAATCTGATTGCTAAACGAGTTTTCCTTAAACATCGATCTATACTACTCGCAGAAACGACACACGCTAAATTTTCTCTTCCCCACCTCTCATTGTTTTCAGACGCGATAAAAATCTGAGAGACCTTCTTGTGCGCAGTCGTATCAACGCTCCCCCCTCCCACTTTGGGACCAAGCCATGTGGAAGCAGCCATTGCAACACTTGCCCTTTTGTTGTCCAGACTCAACACATACGCTTCCCTAAGGGCAGTTTTCAGATATGCGACGGTTTCCTCTGTACAACCCGCAACGTTGTCTACGCCATTGTCTGCACCCGCTGTCAGATGACGTACATAGGGGAGACTGGACACCGACACTCTGACAGGTGTACCGAACACCTCTGCAACATTACACAAGATAAGCAGTGTCCCGTATCCTAACACTTCAATAGTAGTGACCACCAGGGCAAGGCGGACTTTTCTATAAGTGCGATTGTGGCTAGCACGAACACCCCCAGCCAGGTCAATTTGGAACACAGGCTTATCCTGACTTACGCACTTTGACGCCACATGGGATTAATGTTATGTCTCTGTTCACAGCTTGACCCTAGCTCTGCCCCTTCACGTTCTGACCTATCACAGTGAATTTTTTTCTCCTCCTTTCTTTCGTTCTTCCTTATTTAACCTCTCAATCACTTACCTTTTGCCACATTTCTTTTGCCGCCCACGTATACTACTTCCCAGCTAAGTGCAATTTCTTATTCTTATATTTAATTTTAAACCGTTTTTTCTGTTGCTTTGTTCGCTGACAAAGGCTTTCTGCCGACACGTTCATTGTTTTGTTGCGTTCATTTATTCAAGTTTAACTTTACTCTGTTTTACTCATTTTATATTGTACTAACCTGATTGCAGTCTCTCCCCTTATTACCCTGTAGAACTGTTAGGCATTTAAAAAAAAAATGGAATACAGTTTTTAACAATGACTATATTTCAGCTAGGTATATAGTTTGTCCTTGGCATGCGAAGATGACCAAGGCTTCATCTTGAGTAGTAGCCTGGACTTGGAGCTGTATTTTGGATTAAGTGAGGGAGAGTTGCTCAATCTGTCAGCCTCTCTCTCTCATCATTGTCTATTTCTTCCAATGGCAGGACTTAGTCAAGATGAATGGAAGGTAGACCAGGATGCAGTGGATGATCAGAAGTGTTTCTCGTGTTTCACTGTGCTCTTATGCGTTCTGAGTTGCAAGCAGGGCCGGCCGGCCCTAACAATTGAGGGGCCCTATGCAAAACGGATTGCGCGGGGTCCAGTCTGGGTAGGGATAAGGATAATAAGTGAAAATTAAGATTTTGTATTAGAAAAAAAAGTGCGGGCCCACTGCGGCCGCATAGGTTGCAGTGGCCTAAGTCCGGCCCCGGTTGCAAGATTTGTCAGAATTTTCATTGTTTCAGTGTCTTAGTGCCTGCGGGACTCCAGCTCTGGGTTTAATTTAAGATTTTGCCTTCTCTTAGATTAGTTACCATCCAAGGTTAACCAGTCCCATCTCCCCAGTGTGCTGATGCTGTTTTTTGTTGTTGTATAGGCTGGGGATTGAACTACTGTAACAAGCCTGGCCTGGGATTGATGCAGTTTTAACCATTCAGCCTCCGAGCATCTCATTTCAAATAATATAATGTGAGATGCTTCATAGTTCCATACTAAAAAAGTTGAAACAAAGCCAAAAACAAGTATATTAATTGTTATTATAAAACACATACCCAAATTTTGAGCTGACGATGTATAACTAGTATGACTCAGTGTACAAGGTCCAAGACTTTCTCTAGTTCTAAGTGCAGGACGAGAAGTGAATTGAACACCATGGCTCTCTGGTAATAAACTCTTGACATTTGCCATTTCTGTTTCAAAATAAATAAATTGAAACAGCTGAGAATTATTTTTAAGTAAATGACAAGAAGAAGACTGAGGCTAAGGCTATACTGGTAAATATTTTATGTTTTAGATTTATCAAAGAAGATTAAACATGTAAAATATCTCAAAATTATCTTTAAGTCAAATATGTCTGCTAAAAAAAGTTCTGCATTAAATGTGTGATAGGGGCCTTATGATAGGTCTCTCACTCATTTATTGTAGTTGTAGGTTATTAAGTTTGTTTTCATTACATATCATGGGCCATGGCAAAGTCTGTTTCTGAAGGACTAAACAAAAATTAAACTGAAAATTCTATTTTCCCTAGGCCTTAGCAGCCCTAAGTAAGATTTTTGCATTTAAAATCAAACTAAGACTAGCTGGAAAGAAGTAGTAAACAGAAGTAGTAAGCAGAGGTGAGATGAACCATTTATTTTTTTTTGAATGTAATATCAAAATACCCGAGTACATAACTGTCGCTACTGACCAGATGGAGCTGATTTCACTAAATAAAATTCCCAATAACTGCGCTAAAAGAGGTTCTTAAAAATACAGCATGTGAGGTTGGCAAGTAGTATTTTCTTGTTTTATGGAAAAAAAATTGCCTCAATTTAAATATGGGTTTATTAGTTTTATAAATAAGTGATATGAAAGGTGGTGGGACATTAGAATATTAATATAACTCCGGGGCATAGGGAAATGAAAAAAGAATGTGCTGTTTTCAACGGGGGAGGGGGGGGGGGCGCACTTATTGGGATTGTTATAAAGTGCGTTATTTGAATGCATATTTTGTAAAGTAACTTTAGTAGATAGGAAGTTTATGCATTGTGGCTGCCATTGTTTGCAGGCTATTGCTGTTGGTGTAATTTATCTGCATTGTAAAACAAACAGGGTAGGACAATAGAATATTATTATAGATCAGGGGCAGTGGTGTACTCAGGAAGTGGGGTAGCACTAATTAATTGGGAATCTTGTCAAGTGCGTTACTTAATTCTATGTTTTGTCTATTTAAATTAAGTAGATGGGAAGTTCAAGCATTGCGGCCGCCACTGTTGCATGGGCTATAGCTGGTAGGCCTAGTTATAATCTTTATGTGTTTTATTAGGCAAAAAAAAACAAGACATTTTCTGTAGTCTGTAGGCCTAATAAATTAGTTACAGTTCTTCAAAAGTATTCTTTAATTTACAGATTTGACTTTGCTATTGCCTAAAGATAGTAACCAATCACTACTCATCACTAGGCTTTGCCTGTGGCTATAATTAAATCAGCATTAAAGCACTTTGTCTTAGGCCTAGTTCTAGAGTTTATACTTTCTTCAAAATGTATCATATTTAGTACTCTAATTCATGCTAAAGGAAAAAATAAAAAAATATGAACATTACATGATATAAGTCTTCTTCTCAGCCTTTCTTACTCCCCATGGAGCACAGGCAATCACAATACTTTTCCACCTGTCCTTGTCCTGGGCTATCTTTGTTAGTTCAGCCAAATGGAACATAGACCATCAACAATACTTTTCCATCTGTCATAGTCCTGGGCTATCTTTGCTAGTTCAGCCCAACTTTTCTTCATTCTCTACTTCTCTACCTCTAATCCCCTCTTCTAAGTCTAAGTGTCTCTTGGTCTTCCTCTTTTTTCCCCTCCTCCCACAACATTCTAACATTCCAGGTGCCAATCATGCAACCTTTCCTCATTGTCAAACAGGAAGTCAGCTCCCTTTTGGGTTTGGCTAACCCGTGTCACAATCCCTTTCTGAGGATCTGCACTTGCTGGGGGTGGCAAATGCTTTTAGGTTGTGGATGATTTCTAAGCGTAACTGAGTTTCTTCCAATGACATAGGTTACTAGCACAATGCAAGGCATGATGCAATAAATCATCTCATACTACGTACTTGCTTGCTAGTGACTTCTTCCACTCCTATTCCTATATAAGGTCCGGTTAGTTGCATGTGACAAATGGTTATAATTACTTAGGCCGAATTAATTGATACTTCTTCTTCAAACTCAATATGAATAGTATGATCACTAAACTGATTATAAATTATCATTATGAGTGAGTTTCGCTAGAATTGTTGAGAAATTTATACAAAAAAATTAATGAGCAGTTGCGTTTGAGCCCTGGGCCCTTTGACTACTCCTAACTGCAACTACTCTAAGCCTCAGCAATAGTAATAGTAGGGAATAGTATTATTATTATTAGTAGTATAATTTATATACTCAATACTGGGACTGAGGTATGGGGTATTTTTAAAATATATAAAATACTGACTCTACTGAGGCATTTTCGTTGCACCACACTTGCTAGTGATGCTATAGTGGCATTTATGGCAATATCCACCGTCTGTACACTCAACTCAACTTACTATAAGATTCATTGAAAATAAAATCATTATTAAATCATCTACCTTGATGATTGAGAGACAACAAGGAGTTATTGATTGAGATAATTAAAGTTAATGTATTTAAAGAGGCGAAACACCACAAGTGACCACAAGACTAAAAACTATTGACTAGTCACTAGTGTGTCTCAATTTTAATTTAGGCTATTACTTGACTATTCACTATAGTATAGTATAGTATACTAATACTAATACTATACATTTTTTATACTATTTTAATTTTAAACTTAAACTTAAACAAAAAAAAAAGACAGGCAAGTAATTTAAATTTATGACTTAGGTAGAGATTTAATTTTTCATAAAAATACATAACTATGATTTATAAAATTAAAAACTATATACCTCTAATTTTAACTATTTAAAATGGCTTTTAAATATTATTATCCAGTTATCTCCATTTAAACAGGGAATTCAGGTTGAACGGGTCGTTGCCATGTGTTGCTTCGGTTGCCAATGACCGAGGCGCCACTGTAGCTTCAGGAAGCTATAATATCAAACGCCCTTCAGCCTTCAGCAGCATATCATAATATAATAATCAGAGACAAGTTTAAACGCACGAACAAGAGAAACTTAAAATTTAAATGTTTTATTAAATGTTTTTTTAAAATAAATTAAAAAAAATATTATCAGCACAAACTGTCTTTACGTAAATGTTAAAAAATGGATTTAAGAAATTTTAAAGTATTTTCTAATTTTCTACTTTTCTTTAGAATTTAGAATTGATCAAGTTGATCAATCAAGTCAAGTGCGTAGTAATTTTAACTTTAGACTAACTCGTTTTTGACAGTAGGCTAGGCCTAAGTCTTTAAAAAAAATATTTTTTTTAAATATACGTTCTATTATTTTATTTTATACTTTTACGTATCCAAATTGTAATATTTAAATTAACGAAAGTATATTATTCATTTACTTTTTAAAAATCGAATGTAAATTAGGGTGACCAAATCACGATTGGGAAAAACGGGATGCTTTCAATGACGGGTTTTTTTTTTTTTGGGGGAGGTATAGCCTTCAGCTAGAGAGGGGTCCGGGGGCCTCTGCCGGGAACTGTTAATTGAAATATGCTCATTTTAACTATGAAACGTAACCTAGAAATCTACTTGGGGCCCTATGTCTTTTCCTACGCCTACGTTTCACCGATGTGATGTGTTGTTTTATGTCTGAACGTCCACCATGACCAATGCCAGTACTAAAAACATTATTGCAAACTGTGCACACGGCTCACTTTCATAGCGTCCACTCTTAGGAATACTCATCCATAAAATTACATTGACGCTTGTGCATAATTATTGTTTACATGAGTGCCATGAGAAGATCATATAAAATTAAAGAATAAAGCTCAACACCCAAAACAAACACCTGTCACTCTGACACGAACAGGCCGGTAGGGATCACACATAAGAGTAGCACAATACACGTAGAGGTCGTGGAATCAAAATTGTTTTCTGCACAGTTTCATCACAACCCCCCCCCCCGCCCCCCACCCACGACATCAAGTATCGTGTCTTTCGCTACACATTTACATATAAGATCTATGGCTATCAAGGACACTGTGGTGGAGAAGGAACGGTGCAGCCATCACTCGAGCCCACATCACTACTGGCTACACAGCTAGCCAAAATATTATTTGAAGTTATTTTATAAATTAGGAACTTTTAGTGGTTAGAAAATGTGTTTGGTTAAAACAAAAACGGGACATTTAGGCGTCTCGAGTGACTTTTTCGAAACAACGGGTACGATCATGAAAAAAACGGGACAATCCCATTTTTACGGGACGTTTGGTCACCCTAATGTAAATGTATACTTATTAATCTTAACACCTTGTAATTGTATTGTCAGCTTGTTGCGCCAGTATTGTTGTTAATGGTTGCTGGTATTTATGTTTGATAGCAGTTGTTAGATTTATAGAGGTCTGCTATCTGCTCTCTCTCAATTTCTTATTTAGTCAAAGTTATTTTAAAAAAGTCAGTTTATGAATTCTTTCATAAAATTCATTAAAATAAATATTGTTAAAAATATGCAAGTTCCCCAGCTCCCATCTGCGGGATCTGAGGGTCACAGAACCCCCTAAACTCTCCCAAGTCCCAAGACCCTCAGTTTCATCCACTCAGCACCCCTGGACTTTCCCACCCGAAAAATGGAATAAATAAATAAAACAATAAATTGACAACAAAAATAACAAAAAATAAAAATAAAATAAACTAACATACAAATAAATAAAAAGACAAAATAAATAATTAAATTAAAATTTCCCCTTTCCAATATTAATTATGTTACGTCTACGGCTACGTGGCCTCGATAAATTCAAAATAAATAAGGATAATATAATAAAAGGACTGCATTCAAGCTATACTGAAGGAAATAGTAGAACGCCCTGAAAAATTGACCAAAAAAAAAAGGCAAAAATGAAAAGGCGTATAATTTTATGATTCAAAAGAATTTGACAAATTATCAAAATAAATATCGTAAATAGTAGTTACTACTATACTACTAACTACATTTGCTAAATCTTTAAAGGAATGCCCCGTTTTTAGACTGCCGTTACTGCAATCATATCAAAATTACTTCCGGGACGATTTAATCAATGTTTTGGTTAGCAACAAAATTTTTAAGGAAATGAAGTTTTTTTTAAGTGTAATGGCGAATGCTGAATAAGTGTGCGCGTCTATTTTAAAACATTTGTTTTTACAGAAATGAGGCGACAATAAGGTGATGAGGAGGAGTATCTAAATGTATGAAAAATTGGATTACTACTATCACTATCATTATTATTGACAATAATATTAATATTATATTATTATAATCATTGCATTATTATTATTATATTTATATTATTGAATAATATAAATATGATAATAATAATGCAATGATTATTATTATTGTCATTGTGTTTTCACTTTTCACTTTCTAAATTCTAAATCTAGAAGTCTAGTAGTCTAGATATGCGGCAAGAAATGTCAATGACTTGCGGACGCCCCCTTTTCCTGGCTTCATTTCAGCCAGTACATTTATTTCATGGCGAACCAAGAAACTTTATTGAATTGTATCCCTCTAGACTCTAGATATTATTTATGCCATGCAACAAGAAGTGTCAAGGACATGCTGTTACAGTCACTTCCTTCCCTCACCTATAACATGTGTGCTACAGCTACACACTGTGCTGATAAAAGTGTTAAAATAAAGAAAAACAATACAGTACAGAACAATATCTTTTTAGGTAAATCAGGAGAATAGTACCCGCGATGGCCGTCATCTTGGTTGACACAACCAGTTAATACTGTCACTAAAACTATCCCTAAATCGATCCCAAGCCTAACCTAAACCCTAAATCGATCCCTATGCCTAACCTGAACCCTAAATCGATCCCTCTACCTAACCTGAACCCTAATTCACTGCAACTATAATAAACACACAAATGACGTCATGGGTACCGTACTCCTGATCAGCCTCTTTTTATAATAATGAAAACTTAACTTACAAAGGACACATTTTATTTCAGGTGCCACCAAAAAGAAAAAAAAAATTGTCTGAAAAATCATTACCCATCAAAAGATGCCAGAAAATTTAGCCTCATTTTAAATCTCATTTTAAATATTATAATTAACCACCCCATTAAATATTAATTTACAACATTCCATCTGCGTATGAATATTAAAAAACAGGAAAATGTAACTCTAGTAACAAACCATGAATAAACAAAAGGACAAAAGGTAGAAAATTCTACACAGAAACTCAAAGTGGCAAGCCAAACTAATATTGGCCTCAAGTTGCTTCGTTGGCCATTGGCACATTCTCTCTCTTTCCCCACCCCATTTTAGTATAGGTATGTTTGAACTCCTCTTTTTTTTTTTTTTACACGGCTGCCATCTTGGTTGCCATTACACTCTGCCTTCATGGCAATCAAGATGGAAGCTGGGAGAAAAGAGTGGTGTGCCAAACCTACATTACCAATCATTAGATAGCCTCCACTATTCTAGACTAAAACCCCACCCCATTTTAGTATAGGTATGTTTGAACTCCTCTTTTTTTTTTTTTTTACACGGCTGCCATCTTGGTTGCCATTACACTCTGCCTTCATGGCAATCAAGATGGAAGCTGTGAGAAAAGAGTGGTGTGCCAAACCTACATTACCAATCATTAGATAGCCTACACTATTCTAGACTAAACTATGACTATTATTATTATATTCTTATACCATACAATAACTTAAGTTAAATTAGCTTTAAGCCTAAGATGTAAATTCATAATAGAAACTGAATGAATGAAGGCTTAGGGCTTAAAAGGCTCCTGAGCAAAGCTGATTTGGGGGGAGGGCATCTCAGAATTTTTTTTGATAATTTCAAAATGCAGGGATGCATCTTTATATCAATGCTTAGTTTTGTCAACAAAAAAAAAAGGTGCCACTACTCAGGCATGGTCAGGTCACCTAAACAATTAACTCTGCTAAAAGGGTACTGTTATAAAATAGTCTTCTAATGCTAATGGGAATATTTGTAACTGCCTGAAACACAACTTATAAATTGTAACATACTAACTTGAAGCAATTACCACTCTTTTTATTTGATTTGAATATCTATATAGAGTGCAGTGGTGTACCTAGGTGGTTACCCTTCAAGGTTTCTTTAATATATTATTTTCCTACCAACATTAATAATAGATAGGTAAGGTCACTGAAAGAATGGGAACATTTTATGAGGAGATCAAAATCTCAAAACTTGTTCGTGTTAGAGACATGAAAATGGGGATTTAGATTTCATTAAAAATAATGAAATGTAAGTTTTTGCATTTTCCTTAGTGTACATATATATATATATATATATATATATATATATATATATATATATATATATATATATATATGTATATTTTTATATATATATATATATATATATTTTGTGTGTATAAAATATATATTTCTATTTTTTATAATTTAGATTTCATTAAAAATAATGAAATGTAAGTTTTTGCATTTTCCTTAGTGTACATATATATATATATATATATATATATATATATATATATATATAAATATATATGTATATGTATATTATTATATATCTATTTATAAATATATTTTGTCAGTATGAAATATATATTACTGTATTTTATCATGTCCTGAAAATACATTCATGATGCAAGAAATGATTAATAGATCTGAAGTTCTACATCTATTTTTTAAATACTTTGGTTTCTCATTACTTTGCGAAAAAATATCAGAAAATACTCAACTAAAAACAATAATTTGTATATTTCAGATACAGATTTACTGCTGAAAAATCAAGTATTGAGTGCATTCTGACAATGGATAGTGATGTAAGAGAAATGTTAAATTGTTCACTAGAAATAGTTTAATGATTTCCTCTTTGGCTACTGTGCTTTCTAAATTTTGAATGAACTGAATGCCAGAGAATGAATTTTAAATAGTACAGTCAGAACACTCTTTAACTTCAAAACTAATAAATATTTTACTTTGACTATAAATAGAAAAGCAATGAAAGAAAAATAAATTAGAATGCTTTTTATTAAACATTGCACAATATATATGTCAATATGGGACTGAACTAATGAAAATTTAAAATATCAGCCCATGATTACCTTATTTTCAACACCCATTGAGGGAATTTCTAAGAAAGTCTTACTCTTAAACAGTATAGGCATTCTGGGAAGCTCCAAGACAAAAGAATAATATATCAGGGACTGTGTTCCACTATAAAGCCCATGAGCTTCAAGAGGTAGTGAAGCCTAATTAATGGGGATAGCTAGTGTAGATGTCTATAGCTAATGGAATGAAGGAGCAGAAATTATTCTTCAGAAAATGATACTATCAAAAAATCATTTTTTTAAAATTTATTTCTTACATTAAAGGCAGAATTTATTTTTTAAATGGCTAATAAATTTTAATTCATTTTTCATTGAATTTCAGTTAATTGTAAAAATGCATTATTTAAAATTACAATGATAATTTGTGAACTTTTGATGGAATTAAAATTGTTTTGTTGGTTTATGACTATAATTTTTTCTAATTCTATTTATTGCAGAACCCATTAGCTAGACTTCAGATGGAGAAGCTTTACCATCTGTATGTTGATGAACAGATGACAAAACATGTACCCACCTCAAATATTGCTTCGTAAGTTGATGAACATTTTACACTTGGCTTTACTATTTTTATGTATTCATCATATTTAGACCTTTTATCATAGAGAATACCTTATCCAGATCCCAGAAACCAAGGCATACAGTTACCCAGAAAAGAGGCATACTGATTTTAAAAATTAGCATTCCAAAAATCCCCAGCGCCCCCTTAGGTAATCCTATGCCCCCCACCTTCCCCCCCCCCCCCAAAAAATGTAGTATTCACCCTTCAAAAGCTTCGACAGACTCGCATATTCTTTCTGTTCCCAGAACACACACTAAAACAAATGGTGAACAATCTTTCTCTTTCTGTGCCCCAAAACAATGGAATTCTCTCCCTTAAGACATCCACAAAAGAACGACTATCACAGCCTTTAAAACTGTCCTCAAGACCCATCTTTTTCAACACTTAGTGATGTTAATGGTGCAAGCTAATAAATAAGCTCCAGTTTATTGAACTAAGCTAAGAAATAAGCATAAGCTCCAGATTACTGAACCAAACTAACAAATAACCTCTAGATTACTTAACTAAACTAAGAAATAATTTCCAGATTACTGAACCAAACTAAGAAATAAGTTCCAGATTACTGAAACAAACTAAGAAATAAGTGCCAGATTACTGAACCAAGCTAAGAAATAAGCTCTAGATTACTGAAATCAACTAAGAAATAAGCTCTAGATTACTGAAATAAACTAAGAAATAAGCTCTAGATTACTGAAATAAACTAAGAGATAAGTTCCAGATTATTGAACCAAACTAAGAAATAAGTTCCAGATTACTGAACCAAGCTAAGAAATAAGCTCCAGATTACTGAAATAAACTAAGAAATAAGTTTCAGATTACTGAACCAAATTAAGAGATAAGTTCCACATTACTGAACCAAGCTAAGAAATAAGTTCCAGATTACTGAACCAAACTAACAAATAACCTCTAGATTACTTAACCAAACTAAGAAATAAGTTCCAGATTACTGAACCAAACTAAGAGATAAGTTCCAGATTACTGAACCAAACTAAGAAATAAGCTCCAGATTACTGAACCAAACTAAGAAATAAGTTCCAGATTACTGAACCAAACTAAGAGATAAGTTCCAGATTACTGAACCAAACTAAGAAATAAGCTCTAGATTACTGAACCAAACTAAGAAATAAGTTCCAGATTACTGAACCAAACTAAGAGATAAGTTCCAGATTACTGAACCAAACTAAGAAATATGCTCCAGATTACTGAAACAAACTAAGAAATAAGTTCCAGACTACTGAACCAAACTAAAAAATAAGCTCCAGATTACTGATCAAGGCGATTTAACATTGAAAAACTGATATCACCTTGCAAAGCCCATTTAACTCATAAGTAACATTTAAACAGTGAAGAAATTTAGTTTAAAAAATTAAATGTCATATACAAATTTCTTGATTTATAATTATGGTACTTGAAAAGTTGTGAAATGCTGTTGTGGGATCAAGATAATCAACTTTATTTGTAAAATGTTCAAATATTTTTTACACTTTTTCATTTTATTTTTGTTATAATCGTCTTTAAAGATGTTGCGAACCTATTATTCTGAACATTTATTTCAATGGGCTAAGATTGTTTGGAAGGGCGGTGGAAGGGTGCAGTGGAGGTGGGTAAAAAAAGGTTTGCCTTAAATAAAATCATGCTTAGCCTAAAGTTAGTGTAAGCAATATTATATTTTAAAATAATTAATAGACATTAAAAATATGCTTACAGACCAACATTCTTGTTAAGAACTAATCTAATCAAATAAGAAAAAGAGCAGACCATCAAGCCAGAGCTCTTTAGGACTTCCCCAACATAGCCCCCCTCCCCCCCAGCCCTACTAAACCTAATCAGGCAGCAAAGCGGCATCCTGGGAGCTCTCCGCTGCCGGGAAAGCACCACCCCCCATCCCCTCGATTGAGCAAGCAAGTGGGGCGTCACTGAGTAGCACCTGGCCGACTGGAGGTGCTGTTCTCACAGCACAAGCAACCGAAATTTCTTGGAACTGTGATGGATATATTTTAATGTCCCTAAAAACCCTTCCCATCCGCGGTGGCATCAGACGTCCTCTAATAGGTTTCTACTCTGTGAATACGTCACATCACAGCTGGGATTAAACAGTTGCCTAGGAAAAGTCCCTTCAAAGGCTGTATAATAGAATCATCGTCATGGGCTGCCACAACCCACCGATTCTTCAAACTCCATTAACAGCAACATTTAATCACATCCCGACCTTTTTATAGTGTTATTCTCAACTGCACTGGGTAGTTACCATGTAGCTGTGCTCTTCCTAACGCAGATTCCATATAAAACCTTTGTCTCTCATGCGCAGGTCACCTACCTGGTGAAATTATGACCCAGATAATGCCGGGGGGGTCGGTGGCAGCGCCTCTTAATAGACATGCCATAATGGGAATTCCCTAACCGACGTGTTGACTAGAGCCCTGGGGGAGGGGGGGGGGGGCATTGTTAAGATAAAACAAATGGATTAGTAATTGTTGTTCATTATTAACTGAAAGGATTTCAAAGCGTTTAACTGAAATGATTTCAAAGCGTTTAACTGAAATGATTTCAAAGCGTTTAACTGAAATGATTTCAAAGCGTTTAACTGAAATGATTTCAAAGCGTTTAACTGAAATGATTTCAAAGCGTTTAACTGAAATGATTTCAAAGCGTTTAACTGAAATGATTTCAAAGCGTTTAACTGAAATGATTTCAAAGCGTTTAACTGAAATGATATCAAAGCGTTTAACTGAAATGATTTCAAAGCGTTTAACTGAAATGATTTCAAAGCGTTTAACTGAAATGATTTCAAAGCGTTTAACTGAAATGATTTCAAAGCGTTTAACTGAAATGATTTCAAAGCGTTTAACTGAAATGATTTAACAGCGTTAACTGAAATGATTTCAAAGCGTTTAACTGAAATGATTTAACAGCGTTGACTGAAATGATTTCAAAGCATTGACTGAAATTGTCAGTGGCACTAATTCAGGGGCCAGTTACCTTTTTTGTGTGGTGGTCATTTTTTTTCACATTTAAACTTGGATGCTATGATACAACAAACGTGGATGCCATGACCCTAAAAACTTGGACTCCATGACACTACAAACTTGGATGCCATGACACTACAAACTTGGATGCTATGAAACAACCAACTTGGATGATATGAAACAACAAACTTGGATGCTATGACACAACAAACTTGGATGCTATGATGCAACAGACTTTGGATGCCATTCACTTCCGGAAATGGCTGCAAGCACTGTAACTCCAAGATTAGACTCTCAAGCCAGTCACAGAAGTTTAGACAGAGAGCTGTGATCTCACAAAGCTGGACTACAAATTTAAGAAAAAAATACCACACACCATTCTCTTGATCTCACTAAGATGGACTACAAATTTCAGACATCAAATATCACACACAAAACTCTTGATCTCACAAAGCTGGACTACAAATTTCAGACATCAAATACCACCCACCATTCTCTTGATCTCACTAAGATGGACTACAAATTTCAGACATCAAATACCACACACCATTCTCTTGATCAGGAGTTGGATCTGTTCTGTGAAACTTTCACTTTATTTATTTTGTTTATTCAGAAAAATCTTAAAAATCGTTTCCAGTCTTCCCAGTCAACTTTGTTTCTGATTTAAATATCTGTTTAACTTGCTTTTTACCATCCTTTCCTGATACACACATTTAATACTGGGATAATATTTATGTCAGCATCAGGTACTCTTCTCAACATTTATATGTATTTCACAACACCACTAGAGGCTCATTGAGGTAGCCCAAGGTGCAGGGCAGGCCTATTGAAATCCACTGCGGAGAACAATGATTATGGTTGCCATTGCAATTTAAATGTGTGCATAAAGATAAATCATATAAAAACCTGGTACAAATAGGTGTATCGATATGGGAATACAAATCTGAAATCATTAAACCCTGGTATGAAGTATTGGAAAACTCATCAATTGGCACATATAATATGGACAAATGAATTAAGTAAATATACAGATCTCAAATATTTCCTTGTTTGTTATCCCAAATAATGATTTGGGATTTCTCTATTTGTGTTGTCAAATAATTCATTTCCTAGTTTGTTATATTATGCCATTATACAATTCTTTACTAAAGATACTAAATAATTTATTTAATTTCTTTATGTGTGATACTAAATGAAAATGATTCATTTCCTTGTTTCTGATATTACATGATTCATTTTTTGTGTGTTTATGATGCAAAATATGTCATTTCCTTTTGTTTTTATTATCAGATTCAGCTATTTTTGCTCTCAACTTATTAACCACTGGAAGCCTGATGGGTCAAGAAACCTATCAGCAGGTCAAAATGATTCATTTCAAAGTAACAGTAGTAATCCTGAGTTAGGACATCACTTAACAGACTTTGAGGTTGCTACTAGTTTGAATTACCAACCACAATCAGACCAAATTTCTGTGAGGACTAAAGTGAAGAGCGATACAGATGCTGCTATTGTTATTCAAAGGGCTTGGAGAAGGCACATTGTACGTTTGTAAGGCACATTGTACGTTTGTAAGGCTCAATGTATGTTTGTCCAGTTTATTCAAATAAACTTGGGAACCTTTCATCATTCATGTCATTGCACTAAATTTGTAAATTGCTTATATTACTCAAGCATGGATTGCTTATTCAGAAATTCAAGGAATATAACAATGATTAATTAGATAATTTATCCATATATCTTACACTCAGTACCAGTAAATGGCCATATATCTTACACTCAGTACCAGTATATGGCCAGTGCCGTCTTAAGGCACGGGATCACTGGGCAGTTGCCCAAGGCCGTGCACATCAAGGGGCATCAAGTTGCCCATATTATTAATCATTATTGAAAGATCTTAAGGCTTTTAAATAAGCTGTCAAAGTGGAGTGGGAAGCAGGTTGCCAAGTTTTTGTGTACAATTTTTTTCGATTTTGAAACCAATTCCATTTTTATGGGAGGCCCATTTGTTTGAGAAAAATTCAGCCAATTAAAAAAAAAATCCAGTGATTTTCTGGGAATGGTGAAATGTGTTGGTTTAATGGGCCCTACATAAAACAGCTTTAGTATAGGGGACATACGCTCATTCAATAGTAATTTATTTGAAGAATCGTGACTTTTGGACGCCCCCTGCCAATTTTAGGTTTTGGGACCGCTGCATTCAAACTTAAGAGCTTAAATTTATTTCCACATCACAATTTCTACCCTTTAAATATCCGAGGCCCCTCTGTAGCTGTAAGGGTTGCAGGGATTATGCAACTTCTTTGGTTAAACTCTCTGTAGTTGTAGGGTTTGCAGCGATAACGCAACCGCTTGTGTTATAGTACCTTCTGCAGCTGTAGGGTTTGCAAGGATTATGCAACTGTTTTGGTTATAGTAGTCTCTGTAGATGTAGGGGTGCAGGGATTATTCAACTTCTTTTTTTAATATACTCTTTGTAGCTGTAGGGTTTGCAGCGATAATGCAACCGCTTGTGTTATTGTACAATGAAATTCCAAATAAAACTTTCAATTTACTTAATCTTTTGGGAAATTATAGCCTACTGCTTCATCTTCTCTCAGATGATTCTTATTTTAATAAATATAATCTATAAAAAATATTCAGTTTTAAATAGCCATAAAAATCCATAGACCTTTTCTAAAAAACCAATACTTTCTGTCTTTTTTGTTTCTGTAACCCTTGCAAATATTTAGTTTTAAAAAAGTGGTAGAAATTATAATCTATTTCTTGTGTGTTCAACATGATGTGAGCTATTCATGGAACAGATTTTTTTAAAGGAACTACTTTAAAAACAAAATCATTTATTAAAGAAGTAGTGTAATAAAAATATTTTGAAGAAAGAACTATTAAGTAACATTACTACTTAGAAGCAATAACAAATAAGCGATTTGTATCAACTAAACAAGTTAAAGGGACAACTAAATTTCCTCTAGCATCTCTTCTGTAGATCACCGATTAAATAATGGGGACAAAATGCACCCATGCATTTTGAATTTTGCAAAAAATTTTCTGGAAGATTGGGCATTGATTTTCTTAACCTTAAAAAATGTCCATTAGTTTGCTATATGTAATTGGACTGTTACTATATATAGTTGCACTGTTGCTATATGTAGTAGGACTGTTGCTATATGTAGTTTGACTGTTACTGTATGTAGTTGGACTGTGACTATAAGTAGTAGGACTGTTACTGTATATAGTTGGACTGTTACTTATAGGTGCATTGGACCCCTTCCCGAATGTCTGAAAAGCAACACCCAACACACTATGGGCCTGATGAAATTGTCTAAAAGAAACTTTGTTAATAACGCCTGGGCCCCAAATGCTTTAATTAACATTAATTGAATATTTTGGAGAGGAATGAGGGGGGGGGGGGCCTCAGTGCAGTACTTTGCCCCGGACACCCAAAGCTTTTAAGATGGCCCTATATATGGCCATGTAGCATATGTCCTGTACCAGTATCTGGGCATGTATCTCACTTAATCCTATGTATGTATATAGCCATATATATTACATCCTGTAACAGTTTCTGGCAATATATCGTACATCATGTACCAGTGTATGGCCAAATATCTTATATCCTGTACCAGTATATGGCCATATATCTTACATCATGTACCAGTATATGGCCATATATCTTACATCATGTACCAGTATCTGCCTATGTAACTTACATCCTGTATGGTATATGACAGTTTATATTAATACCTTCTCTACGGTATATGGTAAAGTATCTTAGTTCATTCTGTGCTGGATGATCAACTTTATATATAATCAGGGTTTAACAAAGTTTAACAGAGTTTATTAGGGTTTAATAGGGTTTAACAAGGTAAATAGGGTTTAACAGAGTTTAACAGAGTTTAACAGGGTTTAACAGGGTTTAACACGGTTTAATAGGGTTTAACAGAGTTTAATAGGGTTTAACAGACTTTAACAGACTTTAATAGGGTTTCATAGGGTTTAACAGAGTTTAACAGGGCTGCAAATCTTTGAATTAATTTTCATTATCTCATTTTTCATTTCTTTCATTAAAAATGCCAGGATCTGATCAAATGCTGTATTCTCATTCCCATGTTTATTTTGCTATGCTTTATCCTCATTCCCATGTTTATTTTGTTAAGCTGTATCCCATGGGTGGGCAAACTTTTTGTGCATAGGGCATATTTACAAATGGAAAGCTATTGGGGGGCTGCATATATATTATGACCACTTTGGTTACAGCAACCTGTGACAATGAGGAATTTTGAATTATTTATAGGTTATTTTTAAAAGTATAAATAACCAATTATTGCTATTTTATTTTTCTTATACACTTATACATTTTATTTTACAATGTAGACAAACTTTTACTAATTTGTTTACAAGATTTTACACATTTTTTATTATAATAAAAAATATATTATCTGTCAATGGCTTTATTTTAGGCACAAACCGACTACATACCGGTAGTCTAAACAATCATAACGGGACATGAAATTCTGTAAAATCAACAAAATAACTTAAAAACGAAGCAGCATTTCTTATTTCTAATAATATCAGTTGTTGGGATGCATGTGCCCCGCGGGCCGTAGTTTGCCCACCTCTGCTGTATCCTCATTCCTCTGTTTATTTCGATAGGTGTTCTCATATTTGATCTCTATTGCTCTTGCTTGGAAAAAGGTGGGATATGTAATTGTTAAGAAAAATGTGTTTGAAGTGGAAGTAAAAATATTTCACACATGAATTAACAAAGGTTGATCTGTTGGGTTGATATAAATTAACAAAGGTTGATCTGTTGGGTCTATCTTTATAGTTTTAAAACATTGTGTCTTAGGACATGCAAGTTTACGAGTACTACAAAGATCTCATTAACTTCAAATCTCGTGGAAATCCTAGTGCCATGCTGAGATGTATCAACCCTAATGAGGCCAAGCTTTTGGATGCTGCTGCAGGGATCAATATTAGGTTTAGGCTGGCTGGGGTAAGAACATTATCTTATTACATTTAGGGTAATAAGGGGAGAGACTGCAGTCATGTTAGCACAATGTAGAATGAATAAAACAGAGTAGGGTTAAACCTGAAAAAAGAATTTAGGCTGGCTGGGGTAAGGGCATTTTCATAATACATTCAGGCTAGTGTGGGGGGGTGGGGGGGTGGGGGTTAAGTATGGAATATTAATTGATTTTAATTAACGTCTTATCAAAATAAAAAAAATGTCTAAAAATTTTGTTTGGATTCCAAAGTTTTCAATTTAGTAACGTGTTAACTTTTATTTTATTTTTTTTTAGATCCATTTAACTGTCCTTTAAAGTCTATTTAATCTAACTTACTTTAGTATAAAGTTAATTTTATTTTATTCAAACTTACATAAGTATTAAGTCAATTTAGTTTTAATCGAATAAAGTTTAATATAAATTATTTTTAATTTAACCTACTTTATTATAAAGTCTTTTTATTCTAAATTACTTCAGTAAAAAGTCAATTTAATTTTAATAAAACTTACGTTAATATAGGTCTCTTTAATCTGGCTTACTACGTTAGTATAAAGTCAATTTAATTTTAATAAACCTACTTTAGTATAAAGCCTATTTAAAGGAGATTCATGTCATATTTATGCTTAAAATTCATGCTTTGCTCTTCAAAAATTAATTTCATTTTTTTTTTTTTGCAGGAAAGCTTTCCACCAAATATTTACTACAAAATCTTCACTAACCGTCCAATCCAAGATTTATGTGCCAACAGTCCTAAAGACTATACTAGCCCACAATCTAAAAAACTTACAGCTAAAGATGTCCATAACAGGGTTCGAGTTCAGAAAATCAATCAGGAAGGTCATTTAATGTTTTTTAAAAGTTAAAAAAAAATATAAAGAAAGTTTATTTTAAAAACTTTGTTGATAAACCGTTAAATATTTGCAATCAATGTGTACTGCCAAGACTTTACACTGATCAACTACTGTTAAAACTGTGAAATTGTTTACTTTATTGCAGATAAAAATGGTTGGTACAAAAGAAAAGAAAACAATGGTTGGAGATTGGTGTCTGACAGACTCATACATCACATCATGAATGACCCAGTCACCTGGGACACTTCAAAGAAAGAATACCATTTTGATCACAACAAAGTGAGTGTAGGTTTAAGCCAGAATCAATCATAAATAACCTGTTAACCAACACTTAGCTTTTTTTTACCTCTTCAAATCTATTGATGCAGACATTATTATCATCTCCACTGGCAATAGACGGGACATATTGTATACCGAATGATTAATAAGCACAGTTACATAGAAATAGATAAAAACATTTTAATTTTTCTGATTCTCTTAACAATAATCACTAGATAAAACTTAGTAAAACTACTTTTTCTCCCCATGTCAGTTCAAGAGGAAGCAAGACATTGAAAGAAGGAAAAAGGAGAAAAAAATTGAATGGATGCAGAAACTGTAAGTTGCTGAATACATTTTTAAAGTTTAAAAATTGTCCCAAACACATGACGTAAAAAAAAAATGACTGGCCACTTGCAATCTACACAAATGTATAATATTAGATTAATTACTAATTTGGCAAGAAAAAAAAGACAGAGTGCTAAAACAAATTTGCAGAGGACTCTGTACACATGCACCAGAATTGGAAACGAAAGTGACTGGAACTGTGAAACAAATTTTTTTTGGACAAGATCTTTTCTCAGAAACACTTCACATATTGTTCAGATAAGATAAGCTTAAATAAGATAAAATAACTTTATATAAGATTAGATTAGAAAAGATACAATTTTTTTATAGATCCAAATAAGTGGCAATGTGTTTTAATTACATAAGTAAATATTCATGTTTTGCATGTGGATAAACATTCCAATTAAGACGAGAATTTGAAAACTAGACCAATTTAAATGTATGACATCAAGTATTTATGAAAAACAAAAATCAGCCATCATATTTCATAAAATTCAATCCCTTCATGATAATATTAACTATTAGGTTGATTATTTGATTTTATAACAGCATGGAAGAATACTGCGAAATTCTGACAAATTGTGAAACAAATTAATTTTTATATCAATCCATCCTTGCTTTGAGGGAAATAATTCACCCTGATTAAGGTGATCTTAGATAACTGCAATGAAGTGGGTTGATTGAACTGATCATATGTTACTGCAATGAAGTTTTTTGATTAATGTAATCTTAAATACTGCAATGAAATGGGTTTATCGATGTGATCTTACGTTACTGCAATGAAGTAGGTTGATTGATGTTATCTTATGTTACTGCAATGAATTGGGTTGATGGATGTTATCTTATGTTACTGTAATGAAGTTGGTTGATGGATGTGATCTTAAGTTACTGCATGAAGTAGGTTGATGGATGTGATCTTAAGTTACTGCAATCAAATTGGGTTGATGCATGTTATCTTATGTTACTGTAATGAAGTTGGTTGATGGATGTGATCTTAAGTTACTGCATGAAGTAGGTTGATGGATGTGATCTTAAGTTACTGCAATTAACTCGGTTCATGGATGTGATCTTAAGTTACTGCAATGAAGTTGGTTGACGGATGTTTTCTTATGTTACTGCGAAGACGTGGATTGATGGACGTGATCTGCATTTTTATTTAAATAATTCTTAAAGTGAAAATAGTTTTGTTTGTGTGACACTACTAGCTTTCTTGGTACTAAAAAGTCTATTTAATTGGTTTTTGATGACAAACATTGAATCCCCCCAAAAGCAGGTAATACTGTAGTTTTATAGACTTCCAATTGTTGCACTGAATATGTTAAGAATGCTTTATTAATGTCGAAATTGTATAATTTATTAAGAAGGAAAGTTTCTGGTTGGCTTTTTTATATACATTTGGCCATGGTCATAACACATTAGTTTATTATTATTGGTGAATCCTTCATACTTATACGAACTTACAGCAATGAATTGATGCTTCAGTCTTAAAATGATTAAAATAACACTTTTACATCTGATGCTAGTTTTATAAAATTTTACATCTGATGCTAGTTTCATATACTTTAACATCTGAGGCTAGTTTCGTACATTTTAACATCTGATGCTAGTTTCATAAACTTAAACACAGGGGTCTCAAACTCAAATTATCCGGGGATGCAAGAAGTCTGAGTCTGAGTGAGACTGGGCTGCATCAAGTATTCCACAAAAAAGCGATTACAAATTCAATTAAGTACACATGTTACAATCTTCTCAATATTTATTAATAGCATATAAAAACATTAAGGGTTCTCAAGAACTAGGCTTCACTTGCTTCCTCCTACTCCTAGATCTAGGAGCAGGAGCACTTCTTCTTACAGAGCTGAGCAACATTTAACATAACCGAGTTTGACACCCCTGCTTTAACATCTGATGTTAGATTCATACACTTTAACATTTGATGCTGATTTCATCCACCATTCCCAATGACACTTATAAGGAAATTTCATCTAAATTCTAAATGATGAATCCTAAACTTGTGGACAAGGCTATTTTTAACCAAGTGCTAATAGTGGTGCTAATAGTTGTGCTAATAGTGGTGCTAATAGTGGTGCCTGGTTGTCTTGTACCATCCCACAATTTTACCCTTACAAGTTATGCTAATCAAATAACCATTTTGCACCCAACCCTAACCATGACCCTAACCTCAACCCTAACCCTAATCCAACGCTAACCCTAACCCCTTATGAACATTGATCTAGTTTAAAAATGTTTGTCTTTTAGGAATATTTATCTATGTGCTGGAAATTAATATGTACAATGTAATCAAATAAAATTTTATTTATTATTATATGGGAGTAGCATTGAGATTTGAAAAAACGTTGATTGAAAGGTGATTTCATTAAAAGTAAATAGTTTTTTTTTGTATTTCTTGTGCTTTCATAATGAAAGGATAAAATATTGGGGTCTGCGTCAATCTGTGTGAAGTAAATAGTGAAAAAGATATGTTCAGGTTTAAATGAAAAAAAACAGAACACTTAAAAGTATGTTTTGGATAAATGCTTACTTCAGCAGAAAATGCAAATCAAGAAATAACAAATTATATGAAATTAAAAATTTAAGAGTTCCCAGATCAATGTGTCATTTTCGTTGAAAGTGCAAATAAATATTCAATACTGTTTGAGCCATGACATTGCTCAGCTATTGTTAAAGGCTTATGATTACGGTTCTTTTCTTGTATTAAAATGCTACATAAAGGGTATGCCAAGGGCTTAACAGTTATTTTTTTTTATAAATAAAATGCAAACGAGATATGCTAAAGCTTTTCTGATTCTTGTTCAATTAAAGCTATAAACAGGATATGCTAAAGGCTAAAGCACTTCTGATTCTTGTTCAATTAAAGCTATAAACAGGGTATGCTAAAGGCTAAAGCACTTCTGATTCTTGTTCAATTAAAGCTATAAACAGGGTATGCTAAAGGCTAAAGCACTTCTGATTCTTGTTCAATTAAAGCTATAAACAGGGTATGCTAAAGGCTAAAGCACTTCTGATTCTTGTTCAATTAAAGCTATAAACAGGGTATGCTAAAGGCTAAAGCACTTCTGATTCTTGTTCAATTAAAGCTATAAACAGGGTATGCTAAAGGCTAAAGCAGATGATGATGAAACAACACAGCTGATTGAAGGGGCAACAGCTGGAATGATTGCTACAGTTGAAGCCCAGGGAGTTGATGCCCTTGAGGACTGGGAGGTGGATGAACTTCTTGACTGGACAACTGGGCTCAACTTTGATGAGTTAGTTTGAGATATTTACTCTATGACAACTAAATCAAATTATTTTTTAATTATATTTTTTCCATTAAACATTATTTGTTGAAATATTAAAAGAGAAGTCATACACCAGCTAGTCTTGTATGAATAAATAATTTACTTAAGTCAGACACGAACTAGCCATATATGAATAAAAGGCTTAAGTCAGACACCAGCTAGCCAATTAGCCATATATGAATAATATAATTAAGCCAGACACCAAGTAGCCTAGAAGCCATATATGAATAATATCCCTAAGTCAGACACCAGCTAGCCTTATATGAATAAAATGTTTGAGTCAGACACAAAATAGCCTTAACTGAATAAGATACTTAATGTCCCACGTTCCCTCTTTCTCAACTGTTTGGTTTAGATGTTAAATTTTTCATGTCTGGCTCTTTTGCCAACTTTTCCCAGTTGTTAAAACAATTCATAACACTTTATAGTCAGTTCAAAGAAAATCTTATTGTGAATGTTTTAATTTCAATCATTTTCAGGTACAGAAACACATGGATGGATTTAGCAACAAGTGCGGCATCCCAGAAATTTATAGGTGAATGTTCTCTTTAGTGCACTAGTTGAAACCAATTAAAATGAAGTGTTCAGTGCTTAAAATACAATAAAGCATAATTTCAGGATTTTTTTCAAAATAAATTGGAAAATTTCCAGAAGATGTTCATATGAAATTCTATTTTAATGAATGGGGTTGGGGGGGGGGGGTGGCAGGAGAAGAGACAAGGTAGAAATAAGGGGAGGTGCAGGGTTCAAATAGGGGTGGGGCAGGGTTCTATAAGGTGGACAGGATTCAATAAAGGGGCCATGAGGAGGGGCAGGGTGCCAATAGGGATGAGTCTCAGTGGGGCTGGGCAGGAAAAGGGCCTGGGGTCCTGTGAAGACAGAATACAAACAAAAGAGATAAATGATAATCCTATACAGGTGTAACTATAAATAATATATTACAAAAGATATCTCAAAGTCAATTACTAGTAATGTCTTATAGTCTATTTTAAGGTATATGATCATCTTTTACAAGAGATAATAGATAATCTATTACAAAGGAAATCTTATAGTCAATTCCAAGGGATATTATAGTATAATGGTTATCTAATATTTGATGGTCTGTAAACTAAAACACCAAGTATTTGATTATTGATGGTCTTTTCACTGTTTCACCAAGTATTTGTTATTTGAAGATCTGTTGACTGATACCCTTAGATCTGTTGACTGTTACCCTTATATCTGAACATATTGCTATACAGTATTCACTAAGGTGATTTATAATTTTAAAGTCTTGCATAAATTTGACATTTCTTACAGAAGACAAATTCAGAATCTCAACAACCCGCTCTGATCCATTTGAGTTGAGTTTATCGACAGGCCCATCCCGCTTCACATCAACTCGACAGTCTCGTGTCACTACTGGTTCTATTATTAGTGAAGGTTCTAGGGGGAAGTCAATGGTAAAAATTTAAAAGCTTTCAGAACAACTAAATTTTTAACTAAAATTCCAACTTGGCCATTTTAATAATATCAGATAGTAATTTTGCGTTTTATGTCAGTATTTTAGGCTCCAAGAATTTTCAAGAAAAATTAAAATTGTAACAGTAAAACTCTGTAATTTAATGCTATTGAATGAATGATTCTATAAATTAAAATTGTAACAGTAAAACTCTGTAATTTAATGCTATTGAATGAATGAATATATACATTAAAATTGTTACAGTAAAACTCTGTAATTTAATGTTGTTGAATTAATGATTCTATAAATTAAAATTGTTACAGTAAAACTCTGTAATGTAATGTTTTTAAATGAATGATTCTATAAATTAATTTTTAACTCTATATCTCACACATGTCAAATAGGACAAAGTACTAATAACTAAGTGAGTTAATAAATGTATTTTTGTAACCTATTTCCTCTCGCCTTCTAAACAAAAATTCATTTAATGAGTATTACTACTATTACTGCCATTGACATCATAAGAAACAGAAATTTGATCTGTTCTGTTTTTGATGACATCCCAAGCTCCCATGACTGCTTTTAAGAAGCTTATGGGCTTCTGAACATTGGTAACAAAGTTTAAAGAATAATGACTTGCTTGATGGGCTTTTGAAAATTGGTAAGTAAGTTAAAGCATGATGGCTTGCTTAATGGGCTTTTGAACATTGGTAAGGAAGTTAAAGCATGATGGCTTGCTTGAAATTATGACATGGGCTTTAAAATATTTTTTTTTAAATTCAGGGCTTGTGAAGAGAGTTAATATGCCAGTGATACAAAACTGCAAAATGTTTCAAATGTTCATGAATTATTTTAAGTCTCACAAAAAGCTGGAAACTGTTTCTTATTGTAAATTTTAATATTTTTTGTGTTTAATCAAATTTAATTTTCTAAAAAAAATAATCCATATTTGAAATATAGTGAACTATAATGTGGCAGATCCCAACACCCCCTCCACCCATATCAGTTTTGGATTAAAGTCGTGGAAAAATTTCTCAAATGTAGATCAATAAAAATATCGAAAAAATGGGATTTGTTTTAATGCATTGCAGACATATATACACATTTAAAACTCTTGCAACAAATTGAAAATACAAAAAAGAAGAACGGTTTTAACATTTAAAAAGTAATAATTTAATTTTTTTGTAATTCTACTGTAAGCACCCAGTTCACATGATTAAACTTATTATGGGTCCTATAATATGATTAGACTTACTGCGTGTTGTCCTATTAGAAAAGAATGTACCATACAATATATAACTAAAGACTTTAAACAGTAAGAAGTGAATAATTGATCCAAAAAATGAATTAAATTTTAAGTTCAAAAGACACAAGACTGTAAACATGAAGCCTGATATAGCTAAAAACACATCCCGCCAAACTAAATTAAATATACACAAATAAATGTAGCCATTACCTTATTAGCATGAAAACAAATATGTAGCCTATACAGCAGTGATAGTTATGAGAATGTGGAACATAGATAGTCTAAAAGTATACAAAAGAACTTTGTGAATTTGTTCATGAAACAAATTATATCATATCATATCTATACATATAAAAGTGAACATTTGTTTGTGGCATTGTTTGTTCCACAAAGGATTTTACATGGATTGATGGATCTTGACCAAACTTGGCACATATATCTATCATAATCCAGAAGGAACTCTTAAGGGGTTATGAACTTTTTATAACATTCCGTTGGGGGTCGGGGGCCCCAAATTCGTTTTTTGCCTTATATGAGCTATCTGAATAAAATTAACAACAAATACTCCTACATGAGTAGATGGATCTTGACCAAACTTAATACACATACTTTATTATCCATATTCAAATACCGAAGGGTACTGAACTCATAATATCCATTTCTCTGGGGCTGGGGGCCCCAGTTCATTTTTCCTTCTATAAGCTATATGAATATCAATAGGGTTAGACAACGGTATAGGTTCTGTGTGAAGTTATGGATTTAAGTCTAGCTTTGTTCATTACACTTCTTAGTCCATATTGAAATATCGGTGGATTTAAAAAAAATAATATCCAATCTAGAATTTTCCAGAAAGTTCGATGCTTTTAAAAAGCTATATCTACTAATCTACGGTATTTTTGAATCGATTTTAATGAAACAAATTTTAAATTTCAATTCTAAAATTTATCTAAATTATTTTTTTTAAAGCCCCCCCCCCCCTCCCCCATCTCAAACATAAATAAAAATGTACTTTATTAAATTTTATTTTAATTTAAATGTACTATAGTTATAGTAGTGCAAATTAGTTGTATAATATTTCGTAATTGAAAAAAATAATTATTTAGAAAAGTAATTTTTACAGGTTTTTGGAGCATATTAAATTAAATCTAGAATCTTCCAGAAGGTTTTTTATTGTTCTAAGGCAGAGGTTCTCAATCTGTGGGTCCCGACCCCTTGGGGGGTCGAACGACCCTTTCACAGGGGTCGCCTAAGACCATCGGAAAACACATATACTCTACAGTTATGAAGTAGCAACGAAAATAATTTTGTGGTTGAGGGGGGGGGGTCGCCACAACATGAGGAACTGTAATTAAAAGGTCGCGGCATTTGGAAGGTTGAGAACCACTGTTCTAAGGGGTTATTTAACGTGATCTAAAAGCGTATTCCAACAAAATCGCACTGAGCATGATCCCATAGAGGAATACGATCCTAGTCCTAATGGGGAGTGAGATCCATTAGTATACTGGAACCCATAGGTAACGGGATCCCATCGGGTAACGGGATCAAACTGGGATCGGGATCCTATCGGGAAACGGGATAAAATTTGAAAAGAGGGTCCCTAGGTGAAACGGGATCTGATAGAGAACGGTATCCTAACGGGATCGGTATACCATCGTGATCCACCAAGATCGGGATCCTATCGGAATCGAGGTACCGACGGGATCGGGATCCCACCGGGATCTGGATTCCCCCCTGGATCCGAAGCCACAAGAAAATGGGATCACATCGGGACTGTGATCACACCTGGAAACTGGATTGCGCCGGGGTCGGCGTCAAAATGGGATTGGGCTCCCATTGGGATTGGGATCCCACCAGGATCAGGGTCCTAATCCTATCCCGGGCCACGCCGGATGTATCGGCTAGTATGTCTATAAAATGTTGATGATATAGAAGAAGTGTTAATAACACAGTATGAAGGATACATTAGAATGGAATGTTGATCATACAACATGCAGTGTTGATACAATAGAATGAAGTGTTGATAATGCAAGTTGAATTATTTTGTACAATAGAATGAAGTGTTGATACAATAGATTCAAATGTTGATAACATAACATGAAGTGTTGATACAGTAAAATGCAATTTTTGATAATACAACATGAAGGATAAATAACACAGCATGAAGTGTTGATACAATAGAATGAAGTGTTGATACAATAGAGGTAATAATGATCCAGCATGAAGTGTAAAGGCAAGTATTTAAGTAAAACTAGTTAATGAAACCATGGATAGCTGACGATATTGTAGAGAACCTTGGCTCGTCTGTGTCCTACTTTCGTTCTCTACTCGTTGTTTCAACTGTCACTCGTATTTCAACAGTCAAGTGCCAGACAACTCACAATGGTTTATAGTATTTGATCGTTTATTGATCCGCTACTTCACTTTGGCTTACTCTCGTCTCGCACTCATCTCTGACTGTTCCGGTCGTCTCTCTCTCAACTGTCAAGACCCGACTGTCCCCGACTCCTGTCCTGCTGAGTTCTCTCCTCAGGGTCCTGTCTGGATAGTTAGCAATCGCCCCAAACTTCTCTAAAAATGTTTGCCAAGCTGAATATCCACTGAACGTTGACATGTGATTAGCGGAGTAGTGAATTCGCCGGCTTGAGTACGTCAGGTCCCGGTCTCCGGTTGACTTGTCTGTGGTGGCTTGTCGATAGGAAGCGTCGGCCACAGACCTCCTCGACGTTACCCGGGAAACACGACCACTGGGCACGTCCTGCGTGGGCAGACAAGGGATGTACTCGGTACCTGCCGTACATAAAACAGCTCCTACAGGGCTGAAAGTTGTGATACTTCCCAACTGGAACAATTGGCAGAGACAGGGTATGAATCATGATTACAAGTTGCCGTTAATGGATATGAGGCGAGAGGCGAAGGTGGTAACCTCTGGCCGATGATTCTTTCTACGCCACCCTGAGAAGCTGCTCCAAGGCAACCGTTTCGTCCCAGCTGCATTGCGAATTTGTTGCGTTGTGGAAACCCACTGTAGAGTCCCTCTTATAGTGCGTCTAACGCTTCACCGGGATGGGTGGGGAAAGATATTAGGACGTAAAATTTTCCATCCCGACTCCTGAGAAAGTCGATCGTGTGCACTGTGTGCAAACACAGTGTCGGACCGACCGGGTGTCTTTGGGTTAGGACGGCCCCCGGTGGAGACCTGGCCGAGCAGACTCGGGTGGGGGCCGTCCTGATAAAGGGAGATCCCCGACGTGCCGCTCCGCGGCCCGATACCGGGTTGGGGAGGATTTTTTTTTTGGGAGGCCATAAAGAGCGCAAGCTCGACGGCCCGCTGACGCCATTTCTTAATGTAATATTTCAGTCAGGTCCAGATGTAAAAAAGAAATGAAATCAGCGTCCTCTTGAGTGAATTCGCAAGGTCGCCACCCCATCGCTGCTACCATGACTCGTCTCTGTTCTACTTCTGTTCTCTTACTACTTTCTCTGTATGATAACCTCGTTGACTCTGTCTCCCGTAATGCAAAAAATCGTTAACAACACGTCGATTGCTAGCCTTTCACTTTAATTATCTGCTATGCTGTTCACACTCAAGACATAGGAACTCTGCCCTGACTGTCCCAGTTTGTATCTCTGTCTACTGTGTCCTCACGACTTGCCTCTACTCCTATCCGGTTGAGTTCTACCTTCCGACTGTCCTCTTCCCTGCCCGCCTGAGCTCGCCCTTTCCCGCCCAACGGTCCCATTTTATAAGTCCTCAACTTTGGTCGTGATGTCTCTAGAGATTCCTTCCCAGGGCTAATCTATTTCTACATCTCAGGTATTAAAATTTTCCTAACGCCTCTCTCCGTTTAAATAGACATTTAAGAGCCCTACTATCGCTGTAACGGTCGTACTAGCCTCGTCACGGTGTTACCTGATACGCTACAACCTTTGATCAGTTGGTCAGTTTCCGCCAGGTCTGGCCTGGTACCGGTACTAAAATTTTCCCAACGCCCCCCCCCCTCCCCGGTACTAAAATTTTCCCGACGCCCCCCTCCTTTTAAATAGACATTAACTAGCCACTACTAAAGTTATCTAATACGCTACGACCATTGGTCAGCCTCCGTACTAAGAGATTCCCCCACCCCTTTACCACCTAGGTCGACTACCCAGGTCGTGACTCTCTACAATATTATAGAAGTTAACCATTATGTCATCTTCCAATAGATGACTAATGCAAATCATCATGTCACCTATCAATGGATGTCTACTGCCAATCATAATGGCATCTATTAATGGATGTCTCAGGATAATCTTAACGTCACCTATCAATGGATGTCTGATGCCAATTATCATGTCACCTATCAATGTATGTCTGATGCCAATCATAATTTCACCTGTCAATGGATGTCTGATGCAAATCATTATGTCACATATCAATGGATGTCTGATACCAATTATGATGTGACCTATCAATGTATGTTTGATGCCAATATTAATGTCATCAATCAATGGATGTCTGATGCAAATCATCATGTCAACTATCAATGGATGACTTATGCAAATCATTATGTCACATATCAATGGATGTCTGATACCAATTACGATGTCACCTATCAATTGATGTCTGATGCCAATCATTATGTGACCTATCAATGAATGTCTGTTTCCAAAATTAATGACATCAATCAATGGATGTCTGATGCAAATCATCATGTCACCTATCAATGGATGTCTGATACCAATTATGATGTCACCTATCAATGGAT